ACAAGCAAAGCTTAAATTGACATGGCTAAACCCTAAATAACCAGAGACACTTTAAAAAAAAAAAGAGTGCCGTTGGATTCAGAATGTCTGATGAAATGCATTAGTGATACAATAAGCAAAATACACAGGGGTTTTTAAAAAATCATTTTGCATGTTGTTACTTCCATTACAATACTATTCTGTACCATGAGCTGTTTTGCGTTTGTGAAGGAAAAGAGGAAAATAATATAAGCAAATAGAATTGAGGAGAAAATGCAATATTATAGAGAAGGCAGCTTTTCTGTCCCTCCTAACCCTTCTTCGCCAGGCTCAGGAATTAGGAAAATGGATGGAACTAGGAGCAAGCTATTGGCCCTCCTGATCCCATAGATGGAGGGTGTCATTTAGATCTTCTCCCAATGGCCCTCTAAATATGAGGCAAAGAAAACTATCCTTAATCAATGTTCCTTAACTTGGATCAATAACTCTTTCTTGAGATTTCTTCATTCAAGTAACTATGATGCTCTCATTGTTCACTCAAAGCAAGGATATGTAGTCTGCTATTTTCCAATTCTTTTGAACTCACACGATCCCTTACCAGGAATCATGTTGGCCAGGGCCTGCTGGGAATTAGAATCCAAAGCACTGGAAGAGCACCAGTTTATCTTGTTGTTATGTGACATCAAGTCATTTCCAGTTTATGGTAACCCTAAGATTAATATAGCACAGGATTTTCTTTGCAAGATTTAATTTTATGGTGGGGGGGGGGGCATTGCCTTTACTGCCTCTGAGACTAAGAGAGTGTTACTTGTCCAAAGCCATTCAGTAGGTTTCTATGGCTGAGCAGGAATTCAAACCCTGGTTTTCAGAATAGAAGTGCAGCACTCAAGCCACTACCCAATTCTGGCTCCCAATAGTTTACCTACCTCTGACTTATTTATGACTTTATAATTTTCTCACTGTGGAAGGTAGACCACAATTGATTGTGTACCAACTGCCAATTGTTTTGCAAACCTTGCAAAAACCTTCTGGGGGCCTCCCTACTGTACCTGTTTTGCCATTTAAATTGCACTGGCACAGTATTTCCTGCTTGTGAATATTCTTGCTTTAGGATATACCTCCATTTGTATGTCTAGCAAACAGTATAAGAGCTGGAAGTAAATTTATACTCAGTTGTACACACAGTCATGGACTATTGCAGTGGCACTAGCAGACAGAACACAAGGATGCAATCTATGAACTTTCATCATATGCTGCTTCCTTAGAAAAGTTTGGGCAAATGCAAGCTTCAAAGATGTTGACCAAGATCCTATGTCAGGAAACAGGCTATGACAATATAACTTTCTTATCATATCTACATTTCCGGTGTGATTTTCCCCAAACCTACCTTAAAAGCTGGCATCCATGCCAGCATGGAGATTTACAAGGCACTGGAGTGCAGGACAGACTATGGGAAAGTGTCCAACCCTCTCTCAGGAGTATCTTCTCCATCTTCTCCTTTCCTCCTTCTCATTCTCCTTTTTTTTTCTTCAATCTTCCCTCCTTCCAATTTCCCTGTCTTCCTTTCCTTCCCATCTTCCCATCCAGAGTTACCTGGTTCTCTGGTGTTATTTTCCATTGTGGTAATATTTGGGGATCTATTTTTTACTTTTAAAGAAGGAATTTTTAGCAGGCAGCCACTGTAATGCCAAATTCGTAATTTTGGGCCACTGTGCATTACATTCGCCAGTCAATACTTTTTTGATTTCAGGGTTTTGAAAATTGAAGTGTGCAATAGATTCAATGGTGCACTAGATTTGAGTAAATATAATATTAAGTGTTCTGGGACCACCATTCCAATTATTCTTCCTGTTCCAGCTGATTTCAGGAAAGCAGTGCTCCTGGCAAAACCCTTATCATGAACGAAATCTTTTCTTCCTAAGATAAACTTGGGGACATGATTGATTTTCCAAACAGTATGCATCTCCATGCTATTCTTAGGTTCTGGAACTTGCCACATGTTCATGAGGATGGGTTTTCATAAAAGTGACAACTGTGTGGACCGTTCCCCTGCTGTAAATAGCAAGCAATCACCAATTGTCTCAACAGATGTAACTTGGTATTAAGTGATTTGAATTCACAGTTCCAAGCTATATGTAGTTGTGTGTGTGTGTGTGTGTGTGTATAAGTAAGAACTGGAAGCTGGAAGCCAGTTACCTGGATCCTGCTCAATGTAACTGTTAATCCTAGTTGAAGGGGTGTTAAAGCTAACACATCCTGGGATCTGTTTGATAGCAATACCGCCTGCTTCTTCTGGGGTACTTGAAATACAGCACAGGTGGTTTGGGTTGTAGCATCCCCATTTTTTATTTCATAAGAATGTAGAACAGTTACTGAAAGGAGGGTTTGGTAAAAGTTGTGAACTCAGGGAAAAGCAAACTGCTGCAACCTCTCCTACCTTCTGCGTTCTTCTTCATTAATAGGTTTTGTGATCTTACTCATATTCTAACATTGCTCTGTCATATGTGTCCTAGTTGTGCTGTGAAATGTTGATGGTATGACATAAATCACAATGGGCTGTTGTAGGTTTTTCAGGCTGTATGGCCATGGTCTAGAGGCATTCTCTCCTGACGTTTCGCCTGCATCTATGGCAAGCATCCTAAGAGGTAATGAAGTCTGTTAGAGTTTTTTTAATACTGGTAGCCAGATTTTGTTCATTTTCATGGTTTCCTCCTTTCTGTTGAAATTGTCCACATGCTTGTGTATTTCAATGGCTTCTCTGTGTAGTCTGACATGGTGGTTGTGAGAGTGGTCCAGCATTTCTGTGTTCTCAAATAAAATGCTGTGTCCAGGTTGGTTCATCAGAAATTTCAACAGAAAGGAGGAAACTATGAAAATAAACAAAATCTGGCTACCAGTATTAAACAACTCTAAAATTGCAACAGCACAACAACAGAGAGGAAGCAGGCAGGGACATCTAATTACCTCTCAACAAAAGTTTGCTCCAAACACAGTCAGCTCATTGTATGCTAATTAAGGTAGTCAGTTGAAACATTCACACCTAGCTCCAGCAGAGAAGAGTCCTTTGGCTCACCCTGGTCATTCCACAGATATATAAACCCCCTTTCCCTACTTCTAACAGACCTCACTACTTCTGAGGATGCTTGCCATAGATGCAGGCGAAACGTCAGGAGAGAATGCCTCTAGACCATGGCCATACAGCCTAAAAAAACCTACAACAACCCAGTGATTCCGGCCATGAAAGCCTTCGACAATACATAAATCACAATAACTGAAGGCAGTTTTATCGTGTCAAAGCATACAGTTCAGCAGTGGAATGATAAATGAAATAGCAAAGCTAACCATTGTAAATAATTAAGACATAATAGATAGCAAATCCAGTAGTAGAAAACGTGGATAGAAAAAATTAAACCCACTTTGGTCTACTGCCCATGGTAATCTTAAAAAATTGTAGTTGTTGCTGTGTGCTTTCAAGTCGTTTCTGACTTATTTTTGACAATCGCAGGACAAACCTATCACAGGGTCTTCTTGACAGAATTTGTTCATTGCAGTTTTGCCTGTGCTTTGCTCTGAGGCTGAAGTGGTGTGATTTGCCCACGGTCACTCAGTAGATTTCCAGAGCTGAACAGGGATTTGAATCCTGGTCTCCCAGTGTTCTAATTCAACACTCAAACCATTGTATGATATTGACTCCCCTTAAAAACGGAAGCATTTTGAATTATTTGCTGAAAAAACAACACATTCTATTATCCTAGCAGATTTTCTCAATTGGTTTCAGCAAAAAAAGTTACTTTAAAAATAAATAAATAAAAATAATTTAGGTGGAAGTTCCAGAAGTATCTCCAAATCAACAACAATGAAGACAAAAAAAAATTAGTACTGGGGGTTTTTTCCTCTTGTTTTTGTATCTAAAATGACAACCACATTCTAAGCTTGTGGGGGTGAGAAGTGTCTATTTAAGAGTATTCAGAGATTAAAATTGTGCTTGTCTAAGTTCCCAGGCAGGCAGGCAGGCTAGCTTAAAGTTTAAAAACAATGGGAAAATATAACTAGCCCTGTGTTCTCCATCCTTGGTTCAAACAAATATATATTAACCATGTGTTTCTGGGTAATATCCCAAAACTTTTGAATATTTCCAAAAATGCCGTGGTGTTGTGTCATTCTAATTAAAACTGGATCTGTATTCACAGTGATTTGCTTAAATATGCTAAAGGCAATGTCCAAAAAAAGGGGTCAATTGTGACAACATATTCTCAATTAATACAACCTAAGTCATAAACAGGGTCCCAGGCAGAGTTTTCCTCCTACTATCAATTTATGAAAAATAGAAAACTGAACAGCATTATCAAAGATTTCAGAACCAAATAATACCACATAAGCCAAGTCTTTTTTCAGGATTTTTATTAAATGCTTATAAAACAATTTCAGGTCACATTTAAAGCTAACAGGGAAAGGAAAATATAGAAAATAACCTTGACTCTTGAGATGCAAGATTCCAGTTTTAGGAGAACAGAGGCAGTATATTGTGACCAACTTTCATTTCTAGAAAGGAGGAAAATATTTGATATTGGCGGACTATGAAAGGCATTCAAAACCCAAGGGAGTAGGAGCCCTTTGTATAGGTTGAAGTATTCTGCTCAAATACTAGCAGTTCATATGTGAAAGATTCTTTTCAAAACCCATCTTTTCCAGTGAAAGCTGTTTTTCACTCCAGTACCTATCTGGTAACTTTGCCAAAAGCAGTACCCCTGTCCCCCTTCAAGGCAGAAGTATTTTAAGTGCTGAGGGACAGAACTTTACTGGTTTCTCAGTTGTTTTAGGTCTCAACTCATGTGCAAGATTACCTTCTGTATCAATACTTTGAGAACACGTTTCCCAAGGAAATAGCTCTGTATTCCAGTGGAACCCAGTTGAAAACATAATGGCCAAGGAAAGGAAAATATGTGACTGAACATAAATGTAGGAATTTTAACTATTTTCACATGATTCAGCTATCGTTAGAGTGACAGACAAAATTAATATTTTAGGTCAGATAAGCACTTTTGGAGGAAATGATTTCCTGGAATGCCTTGTGATGATTACCCTGAAATAGTAGGACATATAACTCATCATATAATGTATGATAAAAGTTCCTCTATCGACCACAAGGTAGAGGCATTACCTAGCCTTTCTGGATGACTTTGAGAAAAACAGGGGAAGCTTTTAAGTGGAAAATACTAAAGTGAGAGGAGACTCTCTTGACACTTAGTTGTTTGTCTCCCTCCACCTCCTTTATTGCATATTGAGAACTTCAGAAGTGTTGCCCCATCAGAACACCAAATTATGGTCAGGAGCTGCAGAATGCATTGCAGTTTTGAAGACTTATGTGATCACAGCTTAAAACAGTATATAAGTACCTAGAATTAGCTAAAGCAAGGTCAAAGAACATTTGATTCTCCAGATGTTTTAGACTACAACTCTCATAAACCTTGACCACTAGCTATGCTGGCCTATGATATTCAAACCATCTGGAAGGCCAAAGATTTCCATCCCTGAGCTATATAGACTACTATTTTTTGTCCTTTCTACACCTCTTGACATAATCTTTATTTTCACATTTGTATGAATTTCTTACTTACAACTCAAAAAACAAACCAATAATGAAGGTTCTTCAATGGTTATTGAGACAGTAAAGAGAAAGGTTTGCCTAATTCTCCTAGGCAAACTTAGATGCTAAATTCAGAAAATTAGAAGGACTCAGAGTATTACACATGTTAATTCCTCAGTGGAAAGAAAACTTAATCTAAAATTGTTATTGCCAATAGAGTCAATGCTATATCCAAGTCCAAATTAAAATGACTTGGAGAGATGTGTCCATCTGTGAAAAACAATAATCACTAGCAGGGTTTAGGGCAGGTTGCCAAACTGAGCAGGAAGGGAATATGCTTCTCTTTCAGCAGAGGAAACATCAGCGTTGCACAGAAGTATTGCCTCCAGCATTCAAGCAAGGACCAAGCCGAACTGTAAAACAAACACATACAAAGAAAACAGCATCAGTACACAAATGCTCAACCCTCTACAATGGTGTAGTAAAATGGTGTCCCTTATATCAAAAGGAAAAAATCAAGATTTATATTGGCAGGAAGGGGTATTTTTAAGCTGTCGCTGGTTGAATCTGGATATGTTTTAATGTTTGTATATTTGTATATTTTAAATTGTATACTAATATTTTTGCTTTGAGTCCCCTTTGGGGAGATAAAGGGGAATAATAATAATAATAATAATAATAATAATAATAATAATATGGAGGGCAAACTGTATATAAATGTGTTGTTCCAAGAATTTTTTTACAGCAAGGATTTGCAAAGTACAGCCCTACTGATGCAGTTGGACTACACTAGTTCCAGTGCAATATTTAGAAAACTGGATTTTGTCCATCCCTGTTTTACAGACTGTGCCTTCATCAAAGAAGACAGGGCTGCTAAACATGGCACTCGATGTAAGAACATGGCAACAAAAATTATGTAATGTTATTCTAAAAACAACTCAAGGTCATTTTTTAAAACTATCCATTGAATTTTGAAGTTATCCTACATATTATGTTCCACCCTCCATCCCTTAGAGCAGCGGTTCTCAACCCTCCTAATGCCACGGCCCCTTAATACAGTTCCTCAACCATAACATTATTTTTATTGCTACTTCATAACTGTAATTTTACTGTTATGAATCGTAATGTAAATATCTGTTATGCAGGATGTATTTTTATTCACTGGACCAAATTTGGCACAAATACTGAATACTGATGCGGTTGGGGGAGGAGGTTGATTTTGTCATTTGTGAGTTGTAGTTGCTGGGATTTGTAGTTCACCTAAAATCAAAGAACATTCTGAACTCCACTAATGATGAACCAAACATGGCACACAGAACACCCATGATCAATAGAAAATATTGGAAAGGTTTGATGGGCATTGACCTTGAGTTTTGGAGTTGTAATTCACCTATATCCAGAAAGCACTGTGGACTCAAACAATAAAGGATGTGGACCAAATTTGGCACAAATACTCAATATGCACAAATGTGAACACTGGTGGAGTTTGGGGAAATTTGACCTTGACCTTTGGGAGTTGTAGTTGCTAGGATTTATAATTCACTTACAATTAATGAGTATTCTGAACTCCACCAATGATAGAATTAAGCCAAACTTCCCTAAAAGAACCCCCATGACCTGCAGGTTGAGAAACTGCGCCAGAGTCAGGAGTTGCTGATTCTTGGATGTTTTGTGTGTGGGGTGTGACCTTGACTTGAGAGAAAGGGGAACAGTAAACATGAGCATTGCCTTACAGCAGTTAAGCTCATTGACCCTAACTTTTAGACAACACCAACAGGAGCTAGACTATGTATTGTCGAAGGCTTTCATGGCCGGAATCACTCAGTTCTTGTGGGTTTTTTCGGGCTATATGGCCATGTTCTAGAGGCATTTCTCCTGACGTTTCGCCTGCATCTATGGCAAGCATCCTCAGAGGTAAGGTCTGCTGGAGCTGGGAAAAAAGGGGTTTATATATCTGTGGAATGACCAGGGTGAGACAAAAGGCTTTTGTAAGTTGGGCTAGGTGTGAATCTTTTCAACTGACCACCTTGATTAGCATACAATGGGCTGACTGTGCCTGGAGCAAACTCTTCTTGAAAGGTGATTAGATGTCCCTGCCTGTTTTTCTCTCTGCTGTTTTAATTTTAGAATTTTTTTTAATACTGGTAGCCAGATTTTGTTCATTTTCATGGTTTCTTCCTTTCTGTTGAAATTGTCCACATGTTTGTGGATTTCAATGGCTTCTCTGTGTAGTCTGACATGGTGGTTGTTAGAGTGATCCAAGAGTCCTTTGTCCCACCCTGGTCATTCCACAGGTATATAAACCCTTTTTCCAGGTTCCAATAGACCTCACTACTTCTGAGGATGCTTGCCATAGATGCAGGCGAAATGTCAGGAGAAAATGCCTCTAGAACATAGCCATATAACCCGAAAAAACCCACAAGAACTGAGGAGCTAGACTGTTTAGCTAAACTAAGAACCCCAATAAAAATAAGGCTTCCATAAGTCAACAGGTGACTTGAAGGCTCATACATACACACAAGCATTATATCATATAATATCACACACACATCTGGACACCAGAATGTCCTTGCAAGAAGAAAGGAATCTAGAAATGTCTCAGGTGACACCTACATCCCTAATACTTTTTTTTAGCTCTGGTTTTCTGGCTTGAGAAAGCAGTTTACTTGTAGTGTACAACGTGCAGCCAAGTCTGAGAATCCCTGTGGGGAGTGCCTCTGCTCTTTGCTACCCATTTCTATTCTTGCTTCTTGCTGCTGAATAAGCAGCACACAGGTGGAAGCTCAGAATAGCTGTTTTCTGTCCAGACAGCTGCCACCAGCATCTGATCTTTGCCTGCAGCAAGGTCTCTCTGTTGGAGTCCCAAACTCATGGTTGGAGCCCAGTCTCACACCTAGTTTCTGTAGTTTTATTATCTCCTCTTTTTAACTTTTTCCATTGCCTAAACAGTGTATGCTGGATTAGTTTTCCACAATAAGATCAAGAAGAGTTGCCAGTTTAAGCCTTCAATCTGTTGCCCAAAAAGGAAATGTCTATCCTTCAGCATTCCAGATAAATATAAATTAAAAAGAAATCTGTTCACATTAAGTTACCAATTTGCTATCTCAAGTCTTCACATTTATTCCACTGTGAGAGGGATAAGAATTAAAGTCAACATAGATTTTTCACTTCTTTCCTAACTTAACAGTTGCCTAGACAGCTACATTTCGAGAGCTCAGAAGTAAGTAATTACATGTGAACTACTTCTAATTAGTTCTTCCCTCACAACTAATGCATGACAAAATCAGGTACCACACCAAGAGAAAGATGAAACATAAAATAGCAACAACAATTAATAACTTGATGCTTCTGAAGTGTATTCTAAATTATTTTATGAATACTGGGCTGTGGGTCTTACATAATAGAGGATGTTGAGTGAACAATATGGTAGATAGGAGGAATGTGTTTTGTACTATTGGTCAGTGGTTTCTGGCATTCACATGTTGAACTTCACACACATAAGGTTTGGATGTATGTCATACCCTTCACATTTCACAGATGTAAACTGGGACAAGTAGCCAAGCAACATCAATGTGTGATCAAGAAAGCAAAAGTTATTAAAGAGGAAGAGCACAGGTGAGGAGAAACTGCTGCAGTCTCCTGGAAAAAGAGTCTGTTTCCATCCCTCTTCCCTGCTGGGTGTATTATGCACTTTGATCTCAGTTTGCAGCATCCACAATAAGCTGAGGACAAAGGGGGAATGTGGGAGGAGGAGGAAAAGTGGGACATTTTTACAACAGCTGAAAAAAAGACAGAGGATTCTGATAAATTGGGACAGTTGTAGGGTATTCTGTTTTAGTTAGTTTTCAGAAATGGAGTTAAAAGCAAACAAAAACATTGAATGTCACATGTTTGCTACTGGGAGAGCTTGGAACTATGTCTTGAGCTCAAAAAGTTAAATTTACAAGATCTGCCTAGAGCCACTTCTTTGTTGCCAGTTACATAAGCAAGATTGCACAGAGGGTACATATATACTCTACAGTAGTTGCTTTCAGCCTCTTTCCCCCTTTGAAGAGGTATGGATAGACTTGGTCAGATCCCTGCAGACAGAGAGGAACTACAGTTTTGCCTTAGCCATTAAGTTGCAGGGACACAGCTATCAAGTTTCCGCACATCACACTCTTCTCTCCAAGCAGAACAGCTGGTTCTGTAGTTGACTTAAGGACTACAAAATACTTTTCCATCTCTCAGAAAGCTGTTTCTTCTACAACGCTGGCATTCCACTTTCTGGAGCTGGTGGTATTCAGCTGATTGAAGGCTTAAAAATGTAAACTGACACACAGTAGAACAGTAATGCTTCCCAAGATGCAAAAGTGACTTGGCATCAGTTTAAAAGAAACACTTGTTAATCCCTGGCCTTATCACACTACTCTTTCTTTCATTTAAATTTCAGCTTGCATGAGTCTAAACTATCTGAGGTGTTTGACAAGCTACTAGGCTGCAGAGCCATGATCACTTATTTATTATTTAATGGTTGTACTTAATACGGTCACACAAAATACCAATGTTCAAGCATGTGTGAAGAATTCAGAGTAGAATTTGGTGCAAGAGGTTGGAGTGTAAGAGACATAGATTTTCTAATCCTGTCTCGACTTGTGGAGAGGGGGATACAGTGAATGAGAAAGCTCCTTCTACTAACCTTGGCTCAGAACATGAAAAATGATATGAAACCAGAATCTGAAGTTAAATTCAAATGTTTAAGTCACAGATTTACAGTTTGGCAAGGCTGGGAGTGGAAAATGTAAACAACTTCTCAAAATAGCCACAGTAAAAACTTTATAGATTGAAGGCTGTCTAGATACAAATAAAACATCATGCTTAAGAGAGGATAATCAAGGTTTAAAATACTAGTGCCTTCCGTGGGTTACATCTCTAGAGATACCTAAACACTGTTCAGTACTAAAAGGTCATAGAATTGGAAAGGACCAAAGAAGTCACCCACTCCTAGAGTACATCACCGTGGGAGGTCTGAGGACCACATTAAACTGACTTTCCAGCTCCCTAGATCCATTTTTTTTAAGTGTTCATTTTGGAGCCATGAAGATTGCTATTTTTGGCCATCCAGAAAGGCCACAAACCCATTAAAAAGGCTTCAGATGGGAAAATGTGTCCCTAGCAGTTTCTGGAAGTGTGAATCTCCAAATGGGAGAACTTTTTTTAAGTGGTGAAAGACCCTCAAGTGATGCCTTAGTGGCCTTGCAGAACAGAAAGGTACCCATTTGACATCCAGATCTGTTCTGATTGCTTTTTCAAGAGCAGCCTCCACAGACAGTGCATAATCCAGCCTCTTCTTTAGGGGTGGAAATCCTGCGGTCTTCCAGATATTTGGGACTGAAGGGGTCTTACATCATGCAGCCAATGGATAAGAAGCCTAGGAGTGCCAGTTCAGCATCATCTGGAGGGCTCCATACTTCCCAGTAGAGGTGTTTTCCTGTTTCTGAGCAAGCTGAGCATAATTTAGAATCCAAAGCGATATGTCTATTTCACCACCTAGTCATATGGATAAGAAGAGAAGTAAAATATGCTGCATGTTTTAAAACTTAGTTTTGCTGGCAGCAGTTGGTGCACATATCTATTACTGCACATATAGCAAGACTCAACCCTTTTCCAAGGAGGTAATGTCTGCACCTTTAAAATGATTTATTTTGATCATAGCTCTTTCCCAGGCTTAAGGAAGGACAAAAAGAAAAAACTGGGATTTCCTGGAGGATTGCTGAAAGGTTTTCAGTGGTCCAACAAAATTTTCCAATTCCAAATTGGTTTAAGGATGACAACAAACAGGTTACATATGCAATTGAGTGGCAGCTGCTCTGTGCAGCAAACCACCATTATTTACTGGCTTGCTCGGCAATATTTGTAGTTTTCATAACCTTTCTGGTATTTGCAGTCACATCCTAAAGATTTCTCCAAAAGTCCAGTGCAGCTTTGTGCAAGCAAATTACCACACAAATAGACCCCAGTGCTGTTTTCTAAAGCAAATCTCAGCCAGTGGATTGGATGTGTAAATTAGCTTTAGAAAGAAAAAGTAATTCTGAAGAAGATGTTATCTCAGCCTCTTTGCTAAGACCAAAAAGTCCTCTTTCCAGAGGAATAATTAGCTTGAGCTGAAAGACAAATTGCAACCTAGGCAGAAATACTGTATGAACCACTTGTGTGAACTCAAGTGGAAACATCTGTTCTCCATATCAAAGGCGGAGGATATGAACGAAAGGAGTTGGGCTTCTCCAGCTCTGTGTCTGCTTTCCTCTTCCCAAAGGACCTGCCATCCGCTGAGCTATGAGTTTTGGCTTGCAGACCACAGCAGCTGAAATAAGCACACAAATCACCAAGGAGAAGCACAGTGGGCCCAATAGAAGGCCCAATAGCCCCGATGAACTTTTACAAGCGATACTTAACACCATATCTTACTGGGAGCTAAAATTCAATTTGGACGTCAAACTTCTTGGCTCTCATGTTGCACAGTTCACCTTTAGCTGAACTGGTCTCTCTTGGTTCATAATGTAGCAGAGCTGGGGCAGTCAGCATGCAAAGCAAAATTATGCTTATTCTTGAAATGCACCTCACAGATAAAATAAGACTATACCTGAGAGTGACAGACATGCATTTTTAAAGTCTGTCCCTTTCACACGTAAGGCAGTGAAATGGAGAACAGGATTTTTAAAAAGTCAGTTCTGCCCATAGCTTTTCTCCCTCCAGATTTGACAGTTAGCCTCACCTCTAGTCAAAGCTGACCCATGGCATTTTGCTGCCTGAGGCCAAAAAAAAGCACATGCACAGGTGGGCATTTCACATGCAAAAGAATTTCATTTCAATGCAACTGGCAGGTTATCTGAAGATAGGAGGCCAGCCTAGGGGATACAAAATAGACTGCATATCTTCTCAAGCACTTCACCTTTGGCACCATGCTTTGCCTAATGGTGGGACTAGCCATTTTTATTATCAGAAAAATGCCTAAAAACTTCCAACCAAATGTCCATAGACTGAGCAAAAAGATTTGAGAAATGAAGGCTTTTCTATCTCTGTGAGTGCAGACTTCCTTGGTAGTTTGAACCCTCTGTAGTAGGACTCAGCAAGTTATGTTTGGGGTCTACATTTCCCCTACTTCTGCTTTTGAAAAAAGGTGGGGTTTTTTTTACAAACCCGTTATCAGTGAATAAGAAATAAATGTGTTATTTAAATGGTGAATTACTACTCCCAGAGAGCTGGTGTAAATTCAAAGATGGGCCAGAGTATGTTTCAGAAATAGCCAAATAGCCTAGAGACACATAATTATGTGATCCAAACCAAGAATGCTCCAACACAGGCTTTGTGTTGAATTACCATACTCTCTCCCAATTTCTTTGGTATTTTTAAACAGTTTTTAGCCTGAAATATTTATTTATTTATCTTATTTATATCCTCCCCCCCCCACCCGCTTTCTCAACCCCAAAGGGGACTCATGGTGGTTTACATATAACAAATTATATGATATGTAATTTATTTTTTATTATTTATACCCTGCTTTTTCTCTCTACAGCGGAGACTCAAAATGGCTTATAATAAAACCAATGGAATACAATTTTAAACGAAAAATATACAACTGTCTCAAAATGTATTCAGAGGTAATACATTTTGGACCTCCTTGTGGAAGACAATTATACATTTGTGTGGGCTTAAGTCATGAATGTCAGAGCTGTTCCAACAAAAACAGAAATAAGATTTCTTTTGTTTTCTTGTTTTAGGGGGACAAAATGCTGATAACGGTAACACCGCCCCATGAGCCAGGGTCTCTCCACTCCCAGGCTCCACCCCCTCCTATTTTACCAAAGCCTGGAATAGACAATCTTAAACTACAGAAACTCTTGAAAAAAGCAGCAAAGAAGAAAGCTGCACTATCAGCACAACAAGCCACATCATTCCGGTCTACTTTGTCCCCTGTCAGTGAAGCCAGCCCAGACCTGGAACACAATGAACGTTCTTCTCCACTGAAGCCTACTGAAGCTCATACACACCTCACTATTAATCTTCCACCTCGCTTTTCCATCAAGCCTATTGTCCAGCATGTTCCATCTCCCTTTCCTAAGGCAAAGCCCTTTACGTTCACAATCACAGAGCAGAGGAGCCTTTCTGAGCATCTCAAATTCACAGTCTCACCTGCAGTCTCACCACTACAGAGACGACGCACTCCTGAGCCATCATGGCAGCCCACAGGACATCTACCAGACACACACATTCAGCTATCCCCATCAACCACTGCACACTCTGTTCATGTTTTCCCTGAACATCCTGTTTTCCCTACACCTGTAGTGGAGACCCCAGTGCCAGTTGCGCATGTTGCTGAAACCTATGCCCACATTCATAGCCTCCAAGTACCAAGAGATAAAACCTCACTGTTAGGTCAGCCAGTGGACATTCCTACTAGTGAAGATAAGCCGACATCAGTTCACTTGAAGGTAAATAACTCACATCCACCACCAGATAACAAGGAAGTCACACACTTCATAAGCCAGGCTGCTACTCCTAAATTAGATGTTATCTCGGCTCCTGAGCCTCCTGTTAGGACAGTGAAAACCGAAATATTGCATGTTCCCAGACAGCATACAGGGGTTACATCCCCAGTTCTTCATCATAACAGGCCTGTGACACCAGAAAGCAGAAACCATCAGCCATATATTGAAGCTCAGAGATGGCCAAGTACCACTATTCCTCAGAAGCACATCACGACAGAGGCAGTTATACCTCCCCCTCCAGTTTTCAGCACTTATATGCCTTTGCCAGAAGAAAAGCTTGATAAGCAGACTGTACCATCACCACCACATACTGCTCCTCCAGGTACCACAAACACCTTGCCAAAGCCAAAGCCAAAACCAGCACTGCCACCCAGAAACAAGTTTAGTGGCTGGTCTCGTCTCAAGAAGCACTTGATCGTGGAATCTGAAGAACCTCAGTTTCCTATTTCAGAATCTGAGACAGCTAGGCCTGAACAGGCAGAAAAGGCAAAAGTGGAACAATCTCAAGCCAATAGTGATCCAGACAAAGGAACAACCAAGTCAAGAGCAGTCAAGATGTGGGATGCCATCTTGTACCAGATGACAATCAGCAAGGCAAAAAAAGAGCAAGCAGAGGAAAAAGAAACGAGGAAAGAAGGAATGTTTACACTCCGACGACGTTTACCCCTTTTTCTCCACCGACCACGCTTTGATGCACGGAAGCTAAAGGAGCTGGCTTCTAAACCCATGACAAAAATCACTACTCTGTTTGAAGTACGCCGAATTCAGCAAAAACCACCTGAGGAAACCCAGATGAGTTTTAATAGGGCTTCATCTGGGTGGTAGATGAAGGGAGGCAATGAATGAAATCTTCTTTAGGTGGATGTGTACTGAGCTTGGAAGGATTTTAAATAAAAACAAAATTTACTAAAAAGAAATCACTTGAATGGCAAAATAAATAGAATCCTCTATAGGATTTCTGTCTGTCTACCTAGAAATGTACCTTCATGTAGTAATCTTTAAGATAGGACATGAGAGGAAAACTATTCAACTATTGTCTTATTTTGTAAGAAAATTTATTTAGGAAAGACCAAGTGGCTTGGAGAAAGCCAATAGCTTAACCTTTCTGACAGGCTGTATTATGCAGTTGAATCAAATGTGTACACAATATTTCTTAAGGGATACCACAGAACATCCTACTATAGGTCTGTATTAGCAGAGCATATTTTATTATTCTATAATAGCTGTAAAAGTTATGACATTATCTTCATATCTTATATGTAGAAGGGACTTGGATATTCATTTTGCATATGAATAGGAAATATCACTTGTCAAGTCACAACCTACCAAAAGTGGTGAAATTTGTGGTCCTCCTGAACTTAGTGGACTGCAACTCCCATGACTGTTTGGAGGTACAGACCAACAACAGAGGGATGGGTCACACAATGTTCATGGATGTACACATGCTTAGTTTTCTCTTATCTTTCCATTGTCTTTTATCACAGCCTTACACATGTTTCTACAATGCTTGACCAGTTGGCAGTAAAAAAAAATGAGCATGAAGAAATTCACTTAAGCTAGCAAATTTTGGAAATTAAGGTAAGACAGCACCATAATTTTGAGATATCATCTATTTAGGGCTGCCACCTACTCTGAGTGTGTGTGCAATTTACAAGGCATACAGCTCACGTCTTTAAAGCTATAGTAGTAAGAAGAAGCAAGTTGAAAGACCTGCAAATGTGAGGAGAGGTGCTGGTCTACTCGCAAAAATCAGAGAGTCTTGCCTGTAATTAGACCACTAAAAGAACCCTGCTCAGTCCATTTGTAGAGTTGGCAATATATATAACCTAGAGAAGACTCTCAGAACTTAATGAACAGGCTGGGAACAGTGGGTTTCATATCAGTGGGGCACAAAATCTACTCCAGGTTTTAGTCTGAATTTTAAAGGAGCTATCCAAGATGGTTAACTATCTTCCACAAAATCTTAGCATCTTGAAGACTCAAGCACATGATATATTGACCAGTCCAAAGGCATGGAAGCCACCAGCTGCCACTGTAGCCAGACAATTTAGGACTTTTTCTCATGCAGACCTTGCACCCTGAATTGTGCTCAACTAAGACAAACATGACAAATGCCCACAAATCTTCCCTGAGAACTACCTCAGCAAGAAGCTTGGTAGTAACAGTTTACAGAAGCTGCATGTTCCGGGTAGCTGCATGTAAAGCACAGTGCGGTAATGAGTTTGTAATGGCAACAAAGGAACATGTCCTGGTATCCTCAAGCTGTTTGAGGCAAGGGACAGTTAAGTGTGCCAGAAATCTGCTCAATATTCATAGAAAATGGTTATGATAGGAAAATGTCTTGGTTTCTAGTATCCCGGAATTTGCTTGCAATACAATTCTACTGGCCAACTGGAACAGGCTTCATTGAGGAGCACACAGGAAGGCTGTAGCATTGTATGTCTTGCTCTGGCAGATCTTCCTGAATGGCTGACACCCTTCAGGACTGCTTTCAGTTTTGTAATTTTTTCCACTTTGGGAAGAGGGGAGACAGGCCTCCAAGATGTTTAAAAAAGACTAGTGTGAATCCAAATCTGTTTTGACAAAGACAAGACCTTCAACCATTTACAATCATTGTAAATATTGCAAAACATTAATAATGACTGAAACAACACTTAGCAGACAAGCAGTCTTCCAAAATGCAGACATACAGCAGACCTAGGCAAGGCTCAGAAAGTGAAATTTGGTCACTTTCAGAGGCAAACTATCCTCAGTCACATATATATGAATGCAAAGAGACTAATTTGTACCATTAAGAGAGCACTCTGTTCAATCATGGCCACTGCCTCTGTATATTACGAGATTTCTGCTTGACATTTCTCTACATAAGTATGTTTCCACTCATAATAGCTGGAAGTTGCTTGCACTGAGAGCAGAGTAAATTCATGTGTGTGAGATATTATATTGGTTGTTAGTTTGAGTTTGGTTTGCTTAACTCTAGCATTGCAGTAGTGAGAGCACACATTTTGGCACATTAGAGTGCACATTGATAATGTTGCTGTTTGAATCATGGATTAAGTTCTCCAAGTGGTTCCCTAGATTGTTCAATCCCTTGTCTAATGTTCATATTAGCTGCTTTTGTAGCAGCTTGGAGCTCAGCAGCAACTTTAAAGCACTTCAGTTACAGTCCATCATACATGGAGCAGTTTCTTAGAGCGGCTTAAGGAGCTGGGCATGTTTGGCTTGAAGAAGAGAAGGCTGAGAGGAGATATGATAGCCATGTACAAATATGTGAAAGGAAGCCACAGGGAGGAGGGAGCAAGCTTGTTTTCTGCTTCCCTGGAGACTAGGATGCAAAACAATGGCTTCAAACTACAAGAAAGGAGATTCCATCTGAACATGAAGAAGAACTTCCTGACTGTGAGAGCTGTTCAGCAGTGGAACTCTCTGCCCCGGAGTATGGTGGAGGCTCCTTCTTTGGAAGCTTTTAAACAGAGGCTGGATGGCCATCTGTCAGGGGTGATTTGAATACAATATTCCTGCTTCTTGGCAGGGGGTTGGACTGGATGACCCATGAGGTCTCTTCCAACTCAATGATTCTATGATTCTATGCCAACTTTTGCTTTGCCACTTAGAGAGTTTTCTCTCTAAGTACTGTACATTTGCATCATGAACAAGCCTGCTCACAATCTCTTGACTATTTGTACTTTGTAATAGTTCTACTCAGTTAAAAAACATTATTCTTAAAGTAGGTTGCAAGCTTACTACAGCAGTAACATGATCAATGCAGGAAGATAAAGTAGTTCTGAAAATACCATTCTTCCAAGCTTGAGTGTAGCCATTCAAGCTTCTCAGGTAAAGGCTAAAATTCTATGGGCAAAAAGCTATCCCTATTACAGTAGGGGCCCAAGAGATTAAGAGTTACTGTTTTTCACACAGTTTCTCAATAGCAGCTGGATGATGCCTGACTGACTGCTATTGTTTAGTTGGGATGAAAGCATTGCACACTGAAATACAGAATACCTCCTTCTACAGTGCCCAAGAAAGTCTATGATGTAATCCAAGTCGCAAAAAATGCAGAATAAATTTGGAAGAGAGCTGCTATCAATTCTCCCATTTTCCAGAGGAGGTCTGAGCCCCTGTTGTCTTCACAAGCACCCAGAATAGGATGACTGCCTGAAAGATGGTTAGGTGTGAGTTCCATTCTGTGCTTGCACTGACACTTTCAAAAGTGTAAATTGAGTAGTGATTTCTAATACCTTAAAACTTTCTTTAAGCTATTCCTATAGGCCTCCCAGGATTGCTAGGTGCTGTCCCTTCATGTCCTGCTTTTCAGGTCACACTGGATAAGGGCCACGCCTCAGTCATGTGTGGCTTGTTCCCAACCACTGATTTCCAAAATATCAACACTGACTGCAGTCAAGAACAAAGCATCAGAGTGAATGTTGTTCTCATGCTCTTTTGTGCCATTTTGGTGATGCAACAGAAATGATCTAGTCTCCTGTATATTTTTCCATGTGAAGTGAAAAACAATCTAGTGGGACAGGCAGTTTTTTAGCAGGAAAACAGAATTTATATTTAAAAGATGCAGGATATAGACTACACATGGCTAAGTACTGTGGATGGCTGGAATCCAAGACAGTTCTTCTGAAAAGCCACAGTTCTCTTCCTAATTCCAGGAAAAGATTTATTAGCCCATTCCTATGAGAAATAACTCTACTAATAGGATTGCAGTGTATTTTGCACTGTTTGCAAGGTTGCTTCTGAGACAAAAAAAAGAGGATAATTTAAAATAACACATTATGAACAGGATGTTCTTACTGTTCTTTCTTAGAAATGGCTAATAGTTTAATTCCCTTGCTTCCAACCCCTTTGTGTTTCTGGTTATGCCTTGTTGTAAAAGAAAAGTAAAGGAGATGTACATTTTCCTCTGCCAGTAGCTCATGCATTTGATGAAGTAGACCAAGACTATGAAAGTTTATGCTGCAATTTCTTTCCCTCAGTCTCAAAGGTGCTAGATGATCTCAGCTATGTCCTTGAATGATACAATAGCTGTTTTCACCCTCATGAAATGAAATGCTTAATGATTTGGATCACTAAAAAGTATACTTTGAAAAGTGAAAGAAAGCTTAATAGTGTTCAAGTGCAGTGATAGCTTAAGACAGAAGGAAAATACATAGAACCAGGTTTAAGAAGTTGGGACATTAAACATAGAGAAAACAGCCTCCCCTAGGTTTGTGCCCTGGTCATGCATAAAGCACACCTGTCAGCTGCCTACAAATGCTCCAAATGGACCACACATATCAGACAGGTAGCACTACCTACTCTGGTCTTAGAATTGCAGAAATTATGTGTTCTCTTCATCGCATTTTCAACAACATCTTAAGGCTGAGGAGCTCAAGAGCAGTGTGCTTGCAGTGTGCACCATTCCCAATACACAGTGGTAAAAGCTAAAAATGAATGAATAATGGTACAGATTTAATAGCATCACATGCTTCGTTAAATAATTGAGAAGAACGCCAATCTTCTGCAACCATGATTTTAAAAAAAAAATAGAACAGTACATGTGGCTTGAACCATCTCAGCTTCTCTTCTTTTTAGAAGATGGGTGTATAGGTAACAGTTCACCTGAGTCCATCTCCACAGATGTTCTTTATTCAACAATAGTTTGAATGAGATGGAATTCTAAATTAAGGAAGATCATGGAAGTTGCACTGGAACTCAGATATCTGGTAGAGAGAGACAATTCTTTGAGGCAAGAAAAGGAACTGCAAGAATGGATGTTAAGTAAGAAGCAGACATGTTTGGAAACTGAGAGGTGAGATAGGATGTAGTAAGAAAGGGAAATGTGATTTGGTAGGATGTGCCCGTGTGAAGTTCTTCTGGAGCTAATGGTTAACAGACACTAGAATTTCATAGTAAACTCATAACCTAGATTTCCTTCGACAGCTATTCATAGCCTGTGAATCCAAGCTGCAGTTCCTGTGAAATCTAGCTGCCTGAAACAGAAATAGGGGTTTTTAAAACTCACATTATATATACAGTTTGAATAAACTTCTGTTGTAAAAAATGAACGTTCTCTTTCATAAATCAGCATGTGAGAGATTGGTGCCTCAAGTCTCTGTAAGGCTTTATGTTGTTGTAAAGAATTCCTTTTCTCCACACAATGCAAAGTTTATGTTCTTGCTGCTGAAGACAATGGGATCTTAGGAATGGGATGCAAACAGCAAGCCCAAACCTCAAGTAATGGGAACTAGTATAGCTCATGATTAAGAATAATGAAGCATGATGTGCTTGATGCATGTCCCAATAAAGCATTAATTCAACAGATTTCCTATAAATCCAACCTATGGCAGAACTTCTCTTCCCACCTATGGACATAATAAGCAAATTTACAACTTTGGGCAAATACAAAATTCCTAGGAGTAGGATTTTGAGCATTTAGAAAGGCCACTCAATAACTAATGTATTTCATTACTTACTGTACTTGCCTATTTGTTTCCAGCCTAGGCAGGCTATTTTTCTGCAGATGTCTCATCTTCGATTGACACCTTTTTGTATTTGCCATGGCCAATTGCCACATACCTGTACTTCTTGCCAGGAAGCTTCACCTAAAGTTGAGCACAGAAAAATAAGTACTTTTAGGGCTGAGATTCAAGTACAGCCAGCTCTCAACGTTTGTGGGGTTAACATTTGAGTATTTGATTATTATGATCTCTCTAGGAATCTCTAGGTCTGCCAGTAAACTCTGTGGTCCACTTCCAATAGAAATTGGCCACAGGGTTGTGCTGGAAGCTCTAAGGGTTCCTAGAGAGAATAAAAAATAGCACGTTTTTATTTACAGTGTTTCCACTTCCATGGGCGTCCAGCACCCCTAACCCCAGCAATTGTGGAATCCTTTCTTACTACAGTATATATTCACTGCAGAGATCAAGCTTGTGCATAAGAGTAGGTTTTGAGGCCAAAATTACAGATTTTGATAAGGAAGATGGGAAGCACCAACACTGTTTCAGATGACCAGCTATCCCTGATTGCCACTGCTGACATTGCCCCATCCACACATTCCAAAAGGCCTTTCACCACTCTACTCACGGATGGGAATGGTTTCTTTTAAATTACCCTCCTCTGAATAGTGGCAAAAGGTTAAAGTGAAATTTGTACTGGGAGCACCTAAAGATGCATTCACACCCTCTCAACTTTTGGGGCTACTTTGTGGGAAGTGCCCAAGAGCTATCCTACAACCATTTTTCCAACCATTCAAAAAGAGCAGAAGCAGTGCTGTGACAGGACATAGAAAGGGTCAGTGCTTCCTTTAAGTTCTCCCAGGATGGAGTAAACTCTTGCCTTTTGACATTCTACTGAGAAGAGGATGGTTCCTTTTTATAAGAATTAAGGTACAGTGTTTACATTGACCCATAAATATCAACCTAGGTTTTTAGGCTGATTTGTTGACTAAAATTTTTAAACATATAACACACACACACACATATATATGATATTCACACTTTTTTCAAGTGCTTTCTCTTTTGATTAAACTGTTTTGGCTGTCTAAACAGTTTTGGCCATTACATCTGGGCCATCCAGACTCAGGGTGAAGCTCCTCTTCTTCCCTGAAACCTCCCGTACCCACTACAAAGGAAGAGTGAATGAGAAAGCCATTGAACTGTTGCCATACGACTGCATCTCAGTTGTATTGCTTTGGAACAAAGTTGAACACATTTAGCCCATGCTTTGAAAGCCAGCTGAGTCTTGACAGCTACTGAAAGTTCAAGTGAATGGAAGTCATGTCTTTTACTTTTCTATGTGGAGAGAGAGAGTGAGAGAGCAATGAAGCTATGAGTACTCATCCAGAACTTAGGTATCAATCTTGAGTCTTGAAGTCCTAGCTCCGTGTGCTTCCATCCTCTTCCTTTAGCAGTGTTTCTCAACCTGTGGGTCCCCAAGTATTTTGGCCTACAATTTCCAGAAAACCCAGTCAGTTTACCAGCTGTTAGGATTTCTGGGAGTTGAAAGCCAAAACATCTGGGGACCCACAGGTTGAAAATCACTGCTTTAAGGGAAGTAAATAAGTGAGGCCACGTTCTTCAATCAAGGCATAATCAGGCATTCCAACAACATGGTCCAAGCCCTAATTCTATTCAATCAGTTTCTGACCTGAGTGTCCCCTAAAGCAAACAACTCTTACCTTTGCATTTCCATCTGGATTTGGGCTTTCTTTCTGCTCCCAAATGCTTCTCTTACTCACAATGTCTCCAGCCACAATGTCCTAGGAAGAACACAGACACAGTGCTTGGATTTTTAACCCACCATACTTGAAAGACAGTAAACTGTATGCAGCAAATCCGGTTTCCCATATTCTGATCCCACATCACTAAGGGCACATAATTGTTCCATAGCATTCATGCTTCACAATAGGTCAAGTTTTTTCAAGATGTATGGCACATTCTTCAACAGAAAACACACTAGATGTCTTACCTTACAGGGTGTTGTCTTCACAGGGGACTGAACCACTTCACCAGTCTCCCAGAGACTTTTTGTGCTGGTCACTGCAGCACTGTTGGCAGGAAGGTCAATAGAAAGCTGGCGCACTGGTTTGGGTGACTTGCTGGAAGTCTGCAAAATTAGAAGAGTGAAGAGGCTCCTTGTGCCATATTAACTCATCCTTTATAATGAAGACTCTATTTCCATGGATTTAATGGCTCCACCCAAATGATTCCCATCTCCAGATTTATCTACATTGTGATTATGTACCTTCTCTAGTTTAATGTAAAAGGAATTATAGACTGTGACAACCTTTTGACAATGCATACCCTGCCAGTGGCATTTCAGGACAGCTCCTGAATGCTGCAGTGCAGGCTCAACCTTTGTTTTAAAGTAGACACACAAAGTCAACAAGGCAGGCAGATTGGCACTTGCATCAGCTGCTTCATAGCCTACAATGAGCTAGTGGTCCATACCCAGCACAAAACATAGGACTTCAGTTCTGGACCATGACATGTGCATAGGTTGAATCCTTCATCTGAGACAGAAGTAATACTCATAGAATCAAGACTACAAGGACCATTTAGTCCAGTTATCTAGTCAATAAGCTTGTCCAATGGTTGTGAAGGCTAGTTTGATTAGCAACTACCACATTTTCTAAGCTGAAATTGGTAGTGTGGTGGAAACATATGTAAGTCCCATCTAATCCTTATGCTGATGGAGAAAGTTCTGCAGTAACTCTGTAGCTGCATTTTGGTGGATGCCATTCTACCCCAATATGGGGAAGAGGAAGTACATGGCCCTTCAGAAGCTCCTGTTGCTCCCACATATAATATAGCCAAAGTAAATGCTACTTTGTCCTTATCTCATGTTTTATTCTTTAATTCTTGAATAGGAGATATGAAATCAAGAAAAGGAGTGAATAAAGGAATTTATCTTAAGCATAGTTTTAGAAAGCTATCTTAAACAGAATTGAGGAATTTCCCTCACCTCAATGGCATGTGTGTACTGTTCAAGTTTGTCATCAATTTTTGCAACAGGGAGAGGTGGTTGTGTCTTCTTCACGCTGTTACTGGAAGCATAAAATATACTTATGCAAAGCGAGTCTACCAAACACCTAGATAATTTCAAAGCCTACCACATCATTATTATTTTTGCAATTGTTTAACACTTTGCCAATGAGATCAGTGTCCCCTCCCATAGTTTGCAAAGCATTTCTTTTTTTTTTTTTTGGGGGGGGGGGAATCTACACCAATGGTTCTCAGCCTGTGGGTCCCCAGATGTTTTGGCCTTCAACTACCAGAAATCCTAACAGCTGGTAAACTGGCAGGGATTTCTGGAAGTTGTAGGCCAAAACACCTGGGGACCCACAGGTTGAGGACCACTGCTCTACACAAATTATACAGCTCTCTGATGACACGTGTTATTTATATGATTTGATGAACATGTATTAGGCATAGTAAAATAACTAATAAAGCTTAACTAACAAAAAGCCAGCATTGACAGGTTAGGCAGCATCTACCCCTTGAACGGAAGTTACCTTTTCTGTATGGAGCGATTTAAACATTCAGTTCTGTCAGTAATCTAAAGGAAAGACAGAATGTGTTTAGCAGTTTGTTCATTGTCTAAACAGCACAAGAGTATGTTGTAATGACATTTATGGAGGGGAGAAAAGAGGAAAATAATGCCTGGTCTTTCTCCATGACATCTCTATAATCTTGTATCCTTCTGCGTCATCCATCCCTTGGGCCTAAAGGTACATAACACTTATTTTTCACAAATGCGCTGTTTACCAAATTTCCCAACATCTAATTATGCAGAAGAGTGCATACCTTTAAAGTAGGACTTAGCGGGAGTTCACCCTCTTCTTCATTGCTAGACGTGCTTGGAGCTCTTTGGCGCTTTTCTGATGCCTCTTCCTCCTCGTTCCATCTTCTTTTCTTTTCCTAAAGTAGGAAATTGATGCAAATTCACTGAGAGAGATCAAGTATTCAAGAGACTGTAGCTGCTGACATAAAAAAAATCACTATCAGTTAACACAGCAATGAAAGCTGAGTTATGCTGATAGTGATAGTACTACAACAGGGCTGTGCATAGAGGTTTCAGGAGGTGTAAATTTAGTGTGTGTGTACACGTTGAGTATATTTTATCCAAAATGCCTGGGACCAGAAGTGTATTTTGGATTTTTGAGGGGATTTTTGAATATTTACATATACATCATGAGACATCTTGGAGATGGGACACAAATCTAAACATTAAACTCATTTCTGTTTCATATACACCTTATGCATGTAGCCTGAAGGAAATTTTATGTAAAATGTTTAAATAATTGTGTGCATTAAGCAAAGTTTTTGTATGTGGAACCAACAGAAAGTATAGACACCACTATTTCAGTCAGCCATGTGGACAATTTTGGATTTTTGAGTATTTTGGAATTCTGGACAAGGGATAATCAACCTGTATTACCATGCAAATCAAATTAATATCTCAACCACTCCTAGCTTCATCACCACTACAAAGGCCCCTTTCCAACTTGGTAAGCCAAATCAGAAGGAGCAGTGAAAGACCAACTGTGACAAGGGCAGAATCAGGGCTCCCCCAAAACAGGGCAAATGTGTTGGAGATTGCCATGTTTGTTGAAGGATATTCTTGGGGGAGGGTTAAAAAATATCCTAACAATATTTCTGTTGTCTGAAGCTTTCTGCTGGGTGGGGAGGGGTGGCCTCAAAAATGGTTGCTGAACCCAGTAAATACCATGATTGTCTGCACACTTATTCCCATGCAGCTCCCAGTGAATTCTGCATATTGAAAGAGAATCTTTAGATGGGAATGCAGTCAACACCAGTGCTATATGTATTTGCCGTTTCCACAGCTGTTTTTCCCCACCTATGATCTTCTCCATTTCCCATGTGGTCCCATTGCCTCCTTTTTAATTCAGTATGTTAGTTCTTGAATGCAAGGAAATGTATTATCCATTGAACTTCACACATTTGCTTGTATTACTTTGTTCATCTTGGATGTCTGGGAAACTTACACTAGGAAAAGTTACTAGAAATATCTGACAGTTTTCCTTTTGCAGTTTCCATTTTGCAAAAGACAAACATAAGGAGTGGTGGGGAGAAATAAATACAGAGCTTTCATTCTGACCTCCTGCTTCACTTCCTCTTCCTCATGTTTAATTTCTTCTTGGGCATCTGGAAACACTTCTGCAATATCTTGGTTCTCCTCTCCAACACAGGCTGTTTCGATAATCTTCTGCTGCCCCTCCAGCTCTGCTTCAGGCTGCTCTTGGGATACTGAAGTTGAAACAAACTTGAGAAAGCTGGAAGGCCCAGGTGTAAATCGGATGAAGGTGGGGGAGTCCTGACCTAGCTGCACCTGCTCTAGTTTGGCTTCTGCTTCCATCAGATTGCCATCTTCTTCACAGGAATGCTTTGGTGACCTAGGATTCAGAATTGGCAAAGGAAGGACAAAATGAAGAAAAAAAAAGAACAAAGATCATCTGATAACTTTATCCTTTAAGGAAAAAAAACTTTTGATATCTTTGAGATGAGAGACTTTGAATACTAATTCAGAAGACAACACAAATCTGCTAATTGTAAAAATTAATTTGTTTTCTAACTTTAAAGTGATGGCTAATTCAATTTAATTTCTGTCAGTATATTAATAAGTATCCATATAAAGCCATCAAATGCCAAGTCACATTTTTAGATTCTTTAGGACTCTTCAGAAGATTAAAAGTGCACTAGATAGAATTTTAGGGATTACTCAGTATAACATTTATATGGAAACATGTTCTCGTGGAAACAATGAAATTTAGGCTCCAGCCATCTTAATAATCAAAGCAAAATGAACAGCCATTTGTTCTCGTCACTAAGATGTGCAAAAACAACAACCCAGTTCTTACATCCAAGATATTCAACTATTTCTCCCTTGATGCAATTGCCTCCTTCTGCCTCATGGTGGGGCTGATTTTACCAGACCTCAAATATAAGTGTGAATCACAAATACCAGAGAGGAGAGATTCTCCCACTAGCACCAAAGTTAGATGAACTGAGGCTTAAAGCCTGAGCATAAAGAAGAGAATGGTATGAAATTCAGTGCTGCAAATTACACAGTAGGAAATATTTTGCTTCCAATACATCTCCAGTTACACTAATTCCTGCATTTCTGAAGATTAACTTAAAGCCTTCTCAAGTCATTCAGATTGGAGGCAGTAGCTTTTTGATCATGGCTGTTCATCGGCCAAGGCTGTGGATCATATTCACATCTCTATGCTATTGCACAAAATAAAAGCTTCCCTTGAAACAGTTTCTGCGTACTATAGCGAGATTATATTGAATGGGAGAGATTCTACACTTTTACTATAGCAGAGAATAACCATAGGATTATTATTAAAGAGGTTAAATCAAAGATGGTATTCAGTTTAATGTCTTAGTTGCTTCAGATGGTTTGAAACAGATTTAAAGATACACTTATATCTTGAATTAATACAAGTTTGTGAATATTATTCCAATCAAATCTTCTCAAGGGAAAATAATTCATAGTTTGTCCCTCGGTCACACAGCTTGTCTGTATTATGACTTTAGTACCTCAGTGCCAAGCTGAAGTTGATTTAACCTGCAGTTGACCCATGATGTTCATACCAAAAACATCTGGGAATGTGTGAAGGCACCACAAGAAGTTGTGTTTATACAATTCCTTTGCACTGCTGAGAAGAGGAGCAGATGTTCCTACCCCAGCAGAAGAAGGTACAAACATGCATGATGGAGATACACTTTCAAAAATAACCTAATAAATGCTAGCAGTCTTCTGGACAAGATGGTATGCCTTCTCCCTTTCCTTCATTCCATCTGAAATATAAATATGCACAAGAGTTCAGTATCACTAACCCACACTTTGGTCACTAATACCAGGAAGTCACTTATGCCTAGTCCAGAGCGCTCTCTGGACCATCCTCCAAAAAATTGGGTGCCCTAACAAATTTGTGAACATCCTGCAGCTCCTCAATGATGACATGATGGCAACAGTCTTGGACAGCAATGGCTCCCAAAGTGACCCATTTAAGGTGGAATCAGGTGTCAAACAGGGATGTGTTATTGCCCCAACTTTATTCTCCATCTTCATCGCTATGATACTTCACCTTGTTGATGGAAATCTATCGGACAGATGGCAAGCTATTTAACCTCAGCAGACTGAAAGCCAAAACCAAGGTTACAACAACAGCTGTTATAGAACTCCAGTATGCTGATGACAATGTCGTCTGTGCGCATTCAGAAGAAGATCTACAAGCCACTCTAAACACCTTCGCAGAAGCATATGAGAAGCTCGGCCTGTCACTGAACATTGAGAAAACCAAGGTGCTGTTCCAGCAGTCACCAGCCAATCCCTCTCCAATGCCAGTAATACTGCTTAATGGTGTAACATTAGAAAATGTTGACCATTTCCGCTACCTTGGCAGCCACCTCTCCACCAAAGTCAACATCGACGCCGAAATACAACACCGCCTGAGCTCTGCAAATGCAGCATTTTCCAGAATGAAGCAGAGAGTGTTTGAGGACCGGGACATCCGTAGGGATACCAAGGTGCTTGTTTATAAAGCTATTGTCCTCCCAACCCTGCTATATGCCTGTGAAACGTGGACTGTCTACAGACGTCACATGCAGACTCCTGGAACGATTCCATCAGCGCTGCCTCCGGAAAATCCTGCAAATCTCCTGGGAAGACAAGCGGACAAATGTCAGTGTGCTGGAAGAAGCAAAGACCACCAGCATTGAAGCGATGGTCCTCCAACATCAACTCCGCTGGGCCGGCCACATTGTCCGGATGCCTGACCACCGTCTCCCAAAGCAGTTGCTCTACTCCGAACTTAAGAACGGAAAACGGAACGTTGGTGGACAGGAAAAGAGATTTAAAGATGGGCTCAAAGCCAACCTTAAAAACTCTGGCATAGACACTGAGAACTGGGAAGCCCTGGCCCTTGAGCACTCCAGCTGGAGGTCAGCTGTGACCAGCAGTGCTGCAGAATTTGAAGAGGCACGAATGGAGGGCGAAAGAGAGAAACGTGCCAAGAGGAAGGCGCGTCAAGCCAACCCCGACCGGGACCGCCTTCCACCTGGAAACCAATGCCCTCACTGCGGAAGAAGATGCAGAGCAAGAATAGGGCTCCACAGCCACATACGGACCCACAAGGAAATCCATAATGGAAGACCGTCTTACTCGTCCAACGAGGGATCGCCTAACTGAACTGAACTATGCCTAGTCTGTGGCCCTACAAAAGTTGGCACATATGGTTCTTCTGTTACAATCAGAACTAACACCATAGTACTGCCTTTTGCAGCATGCATCTTACAGCATCTTACAGTGAATATGGCAGACTGGTGGACAGGGCTCATTCCCTCCCCATTTTTGCTATCACTCATGGTCTTGCCCTCCTCTCTCTTATCAACATCAGCTTTTATCCACTTTTCCCCATCCTTGCATCCATCCTTTTCTGTTGATATCTAAAGTGGCTACTTCAGTTGGTTGTCTCAGGATGCTTTTAGCACCCGTGGAGTGTGTATGCATGTGTGTTCAGAGCAGTGGTTCTCAACCTGTGGCTCCCCGGGTTTTTGGCCTACAACTCCCAGAAATCCCAGCCAGTTTACCAGCTTTTAGGATTCCTGGGAGTTGAAGGCCAAAACACCTGGGAACCCACAAATTGGGAACCACTGATTTAGAGGGAATTCAAAAGAGTGTGTCTACAAGAGGAAAAAATGACATTGATAGGAAAGAACACACAAAGCACATTTTAAGTAATAAAACCTTGGGATGTATGTACTAAATTGAGGAAATCATGGGGTGGGGTGGGGTGGGGTGGGGTGGGGTGGGGGCGGTGGGAGAACCTTAATGAGCCTACTAAAAAGCATTATATCCTTCTCACCTTCCAGCTGAGTACAAATTACTTACAGGCTTTGAACTATTTTATCTTCAACTGAAAGAAGATGAGGGCAAAAGAGGAATGTGGGAGGAGGAGAAAAAACTGAATATTTTAAAACCATCTGAAGAATTGAGACCCAGTGGATTAACTGTGGTGCTTGGAGGATCTGGAGAGTGTAGTTCTCTTAAAATGGATCTACATTTCTAAAACTAATTAGAAGATTTATTATGGAACTGGAGATGAAGATGGTAGAGTTCTGGGTATTTTTACCTTTGATGATTATTATTATTATTATTATTATTATTATTATTATTATTATTATTATTACTTTATTTGTATCCCGCTAGCATCTCCCAAGGGATTCGATGCGGCTTACACAGGCCGAAGCCCCAAAAACACAATACAACAATACAATACCCAAGCAAATTAAAAACAGTTAAGCAGGAAAACAATAACAGTAACAATACAACAAGACACTATTAAAACTGGGCCGGCCGAAGTAGGGGTACAGGGTTAAAAGTGCTGATGTGGCAGGAGGGATATGGGATTAAATATAAGTGCGGTGTGCAGTGTGCAGTGATCTTGGTTCTACTAAGGTGCTTCTAGGATTTGGTGCTGGAGGTTCCTAATCTGAAAAGTGATTTTACTTTAACCCCCCCCCCCCCACCAAGCTACTAACTGTATTTTTAAAGTAACATGGAACTTCACCATAACCTGAGTCCAAATACTGCTAAAAAGGTGGGGGAAAGGTCATGAATGTATAAATGAGATGGTGATGATGACAACTCATAAGTAGGATTCTCAGGTGCCTTGCATTCTTAAGACCCTTACCACCGACACACTGGACACATGAAATTCACAACCAAATAATAATACTAATACTCCAGAATATTCTATCCAGGTAAGTGAAAAAGAAAATCCAGCAAATGCAAAGATGCTAAGTTCTAAGTTTCCACACCTTTGAAACAGAAAAAGCTTCTGCTATTTCATAGTATCTGGTAGATATTGAAGGGCTGCATTATGACCCATGAGACTGTGGAACAATCTTTTTAAAAAATCACAAAGCTTCCAAAGATTGAGACTATGAAGGGTGAAATCATTGAAGGCAAGATTTTACTCAGTAACTTTTAGAATCCATTGAAATGGAAGGAACTGGCAAAAAAAAGTCTTCTTTGCTTAACACTGCACTATGAAATTCATGAAATTGTTGTACATCCTCAAGCAACTTAAAAACACACATATACACACAAAAAAGAGACCAGTACAACATTTTAAAGATCCACTGACTTACACTTCAGCAATGGATCGCCCTCCAAGGTCCAGGAAGGCAGAAAGTATTGCAAAGCTACTAGACCTAAATGTGTGGAGGTGCTGAGAAAATGCTCTCCCCCTTCTTTGCCTTGACTAGTTACAGGTGCTCTGCATTTCTTCTCTCCCAGCTGGAAAAGCCTATTTTAGCCCAGTCAGTTCAAACACAGACATATGCAGTTGGTGCCCAATGCAGTTGTAGTTTTATTATAGGAGTCTATGGCCTCATTGGATCGAAGAGATGATAGAAGTGTTGATTCGCCCTTCAGCAACTGATTCAATGGACATACTTTGGTAAGGAATAATGACAAAAATTCAGGCCTAGATCTTACTTGGTTTATAGAGCTTAACATATCAGTCTTATTACTGTATTCTTAAATCAAGTCAACTAGCCCATGCATGTCTGTGTTAGCCATTTGAGGAACAGGAAGGGATCTGTTTTATTTTGCTGTTCTATTCTGTGTATTTCTTTTTTAAAAAAATCTGTACTCATGGTTTTTACTCTTTACATGTCCAAATAATTTGTAAGCTGCTTTGAGTCCCATTATTTGGGAGGAAAGATGAGATATAAATAAAGAACATAACCATCATTATCTATTCCTTTACAGTTTACAAATGCATCCCTACCTGATTGCCTAGGAATCTTAAGTCCCTCAAAGACAGATACATGCTATACCTGTTGAAATCCTCTGTTTTGCACTAATATTAAAGATGCAGAAGCCCTGCTCTTATAACATCTGGCCCTCCGGGGAGTGTCATGTACAAATCAAAGTTAGCCAGGACAATAGCTAACCACAAGGCTACATCCAGCTATATGGAAATAAATGTTATGGTATTTAGGTTTTGCCCAATCACCTTATATAAGGATTACTTTACAAATAAAATATGACCCTGCAGGGGATATATTCCAGTGTACATGAATCCACAGCTAATAGTAAACCTGACGGAAGGAACAACATCTGGTGAAAGCATACCATAGATTCATGCTGGAGAACCTAGAATATCCCTAGAGATGACACTTCTTTAGGTATCACTAGATCTTCCAGCACAATACAATAATCAACTTCTGGCATGCATACCATAAAATAACCTGGAGGCCCTGGAAAATAACTAGAGAAGACATAATTTGTTGGATACAAGTAAATGAAACTGCAAATATCAGTTCTGCTAATACAAGGGTCATACTGTACTGGTTCATACATTCATACTGGTTCAAGATTAGCCTGTAGCAAAACTATAGCTACGGTATATGTATATATTCCTTATCTGAGTGTCTCGCATCTTGCGTTGACATCTATTTTTCCAGACAATGTTTAAAACTCTTACCAACTCTAAGGCAACAATTAGGCCTGTGCAATTTAGTTCGTTATTTCGTTATTTCGTTATTAATTCGTTATTTTTGCATTTTTGAAGCGATATCAAAACACATTTTCAAACCCGGAAGGGTTTAAAAATATCGAACCGGCAGCCCCCATAAATTTAACGAGCTTCCGCTCGTTTCGTTAATGGGATGGAGGCTGCTGGAGTGCTGGTGCCATTCCCCTCTTTCTCGGCCTGGGCTGCTCTCCCCGCCCTCTTTCCCCTCTCCCCGTTTTCCAACACTCCTCATCCTCCGGCATAGTGAGTGAAGTACTGTATAATAGCGCTGCATCAGGGGCGGCTGAAGCAACTTACGTGCCAAATCCCTGGCTGTGGGCTGCTTGGCTTGCTTGCTCGCTTCTCCAAGCGGGCGAAAGGAGAGGGAGAGAGAAAAACAGTGTGCTGCTGCCTGTCTCTTTAAGGAAGGAGCACATGGAGCCCTCGGCTGCCGGTTTGGCGGAGGGAGGGAGGCAGGCGCGCGCTTGGTTGCTCTTTTTTTCTCCTCAGCTAAACCCAGAGCAACCAAGCGCGCGCCTGCCTCCCTCCCTCCGCCAAACGGGCAGCCAGGGCTCCATGTGCTCCTTCCTTAAAGAGACAGGCAGCAGCACACTGTTTTTCTCTCTCCCTCTCCTTTCGCCCGCTTGGAGAAGCGAGCAAGCAAGCCAAGAGGCCACAGCCAGGGATTTGGAACGTAAGTTGCTTCAGCCGCCCCTGACTCACTATGCAGCCGCATGTGGAGGAGGATTCAGGAGCATTCTCTCCTGACGTTTCTCTCACATCTTATAGCAGGCATCCTCAGAGGTTTGTTGGAAACTAGGCAAGTAGGGTTTATATCCCTGTGAAATAACGTCCAGGGTGGGAGAAAGAACCCTTGTCTGTTGGAGGCAATTGTGAATGCTGCCATTGGCCACCTTGATTAGCATTGAATGGCCTCGCAGCTTCAAAGCCTGGCTGTAGAAGGTCCAGGGTGGGAGAAAGAACTCTTGTCTGTTGGAGGCAAGTGTGAATGTTGCCATTGGACAGCTTGATTGGGATTAATGGCCTTGTAGCTTCAAAGTCTGGCTCCTTCCTGCTCAGGGGAATCCTTTGTTGGGAGGTGTTAGCTGGGTCTGACTCAAACCCGCTATGTCTGTATAGTAGGCCTGTGCGGTTTCGTTTTCCATTTTAAAATATTTTTTAATATTATTTTTTAATATTATTTTTAATATTATTTTTTAATATTATTTTTTAATATTATTCTTAAAAAATAAAAAAAATATTCTAAAAATTCGTTAATATTTACAAAATTTTGTAAATACCAAAACTTTTTTTGGGAAAGTTTTGTAATTATTTTAAATAACGAAACAAAAAAACACCCCAATTACAAAACGATTACAAAACCAAATTTTTGCGTTGTTACCCAGGCCTAGCAACAATCAGATGTGGATTTTCTCCAACACTGTATCTCAATGTTGGGATACATAGTAGCACCTAAATTTCTGCCTGACATGCAGAAGTCAGTAGAAACACATGGAAAGTTTACTTTGAAAGTAATCCATTCCTGTTAGTTATTGTGTAGAAAAAGTCTTATTCACTATAGTAGTAGAAAAGTAGTTCATTTTATTACTAATTATGTTGCTGGCTGCTTTTACAATTTTTTCATTACACATTACACGCTTCTGTTAAAAGCGCAACACTTCTGTAAAGAAAGAGATAACAACAGTAACATTCTGAGCTTAACAAGTACACAAATATTGGCGCCTGTATTCATCATTCAGGCAAGTATTCAAGACACAAAATAAAAGAAGCAATAGCAACACCAGAATGTTGAATGAAAATAAATCCAGGCCGGAAAAGATAGTAAGGAAGTAAAACACCTTGTAATGAAATATATGCTTTAGTCCTGAGAATAGTCAGGCTAATTGCATGTACGTCTCATTGAATTCCATGGATGAATCAATTCAAGGTTCACAGTTCAAAATGGTGCTGCTCTCCTTCCCACGTCAATGCTTGTGCTTAACAGGTTGCCACCCACCTTAAATAAATCCAAAGGTTTCTTTACCTTCCTTCCCATGTCGTAGGAGCCACCTGCTGAGCTTCTCTACTACATTCACTATAGCATGTGCGATATCCATTTGGTGCTGCTTCTCCCATCTCTGCCCATCTCTGCTTGCGTTGCTCAAGTTTCAGGGACCAGTCACTAAAGCCTTCATCTTCCTCCAGCTCTGAACCCCCAGCTGGCTTTCCATCAATCCTAAAAATTTGGGTAAAAGAAAGATATTAAACATAATATAACACGCCAAGCACCCTGGTTGGGCACAAACCTGATATACTGATATACTCCTAAGCTCCACAACATTCCCCTTAAATAAGGCTATAGTAGGTATTATGCCTGTGTATCTCTTGGCCCTAAACCAGGATGGGAATCACATAGCCTTGCTGCTGGATTGCAACTCTCAGCACTCCTCACCATTGGCTATGAAGGTTGTGGCTACTGGGAGTTACAGTCCAGCAACATTTGGAGGACCTTGTGAGCAGTTACCCTACACCAGTGTTTGTAGGTGTTTTGGGCCTGAACTACCAGAATCCCTGATCATTGGCTAAAGTAATTTGAATGTTATTTTCCTGCTTCTTGGCAGGGGTTGGACTGGATGGCCCACAAGGTCTCTTCCTACTCTATGATTCTGTGGTAGCTGAGGCTTCTAGGAATTTAAATTCAATACTATGGAGGACTAAAGTTTGGGAATCACTGACTGACGTTTTTCACAACTTGCCTGGAAGTTCTTACATTCACACTTACATTTTCACTTATTATAGGTAGATCTTCCCTGTTGTTTACTTACAAATGACAAAGAGTAAAGAAAAGAGATGGGAAAGGAGCACTCATCAGTTCCCAAACTCAAAGAAGATAGCTGGTTGGTATGGGGCAAGCAATACTTTTATATGTCATGAGAATTTGCATATATTTGAAGTTTCACCTTTTATTTGTGGGATGCCCTTTGGTTATAACCTTGATTTACTACATAATATCACAACCTCTTGATTTGGTAGGGACATTCTCAACCCTCTTTCATATAGTCTTTCAGCTGCTTTAAAATATCTGAGTTTCTCTTTCCTCCTCCCATTTTCCTTCTTGTCTTCAGTTATTGCAATTCCTCAGGAAGAGGATGTGGAGGAGTTGGATTCTAGCCCTTCCCAGCACAGGCAGGCTAAGGCAAACTGCTGTAGGCTCATCTAGCTTGGGTGATCTTTTTCATTAATGACTTTTGACCACATTTTGATGTTGCCTGGCCACAAATATCAAAGTTTTCATTTGTGAAATGCTGAAGGCTATGTAATATATGTTAATTTCTCCGCCTTTCTCTCTGCACATGTTTGCATAGTTTCCTATTTTTCTCTCAAGGTTTTGGAGTGGCTAATATGAAATGTAACCTTTACAGGACAAAATACAAATATTTCTTCAATCATGTTCCTGTTGCTTTAATTGCTTTATGGGAATTTGTCCTTGGTAAATCCTGACAGTGCATATTGCATGAAGTTTCTGTGTGCCTTCAAGTCACCTATTGAACTATGGTAGCTCCATGGTTTCCACAGGTTTTCTTTGGCAAGGTGGTTTAACCAGTTTCTTCCTTTGAAATATCCTGGTATTCACTGGTAGCCTTCCACCCAACTATTAACCAGGGGTGACCCTGCATAGCATCAAAGATCAGATGAGATTGGGTGCCTTCAGGATATTTGGGCTTAGTCTTAGGAAAATGTGACTCCAGCCTTCACATGACAATGTATTGTTATATATATCAACTCAAAGGTTTCATGCAGATGTCTCCCAGATGAGTGAGATTGTGGCTTGAATTTCCTATTAAAATGAATGGGACCTCAAAGTATATAACTTTGGTTCCATGTGTTTGCTGATAATAATAGTTATTGCTAGGGCACCAACAAAATTATCTTACTTTGCTCCTTGCTGAGGTCATGATTCACCAGCAATAGCAGTCCAGGAAATATAATATACTGTTTATCAGCCAAAAATCAAAGGTGTTTTTAAAAAGGTAGTGGAAATTTGTTTCAGAGTGAGAAGTAGATGTTCCCAAGACATTACATAGATCAGAATGATACTCGCAAAATAAATTCCAGCTTGTTTTCAAAGTGATCCTTACTTGGCTATCATGCAAATTTCCCATTGCATCACTAATCAGTAAGCACTGATGTAATTCACACCAGTTCACAATCTGAAACCATTAAAGAAATTAAATATTTAGATATTTAGAAAATTTACTTTTTAAATATTAAGGACACATGTGCCAAAGTTTGGAAGTAATTCATTACAAGCACTGTAATTAACTCCCTTTTTGTAATTAACTCTTTTTTTTGTAATAAATCTTGTGGCTTAACAAGGTTAAGCACTGTTCCTTTTGCAGTGTGTTAATGTGTATCTTTTATAGAACTACATTTTAATATGTGTTTTTATAGAATTTTTACAATGTTTGTGAATGTTTTTGACTGCTGTGACCCACCTCAAGCCACAAGGAGAGGTGAGTAAGATTCTTCTTCTTCTTCTTCTTCTTCTTCTTCTTCTTCTTCTTCTTATTATTATTATTATTATTATTATTATTATTATTATTATTACTTTTTTAGTATTGTAGTTAAGGGCTGTGTGATTTCACCACTTAGGAATGTTTGTGCCATTTACCACTGGCTTATAATATTCTAATAGGGGGAAGAAGCTCCTCGATTTTTAAAAACATCAATTTCTGTTCCTTTTGAAAATGAAGAAAATAAGTTTTGTAATACTTGCAGTAAGTAATTTATTTTCAGAACTTTGGAACTGTAATTGTGGGTGATTGCTTTTTCTAAAAAAAATAACTTCATAGGATTGACTATCCATGTGCCTGAGACAGAGAGGGAGGCAGAAAGAGTGGAAGAATATTTGTGCCATTATTAATGAAAAGGGAAAAGGGTGGAAAGAGCATTTACACTCCACTGGCAAAAGTTCATCGTTTGGCCTTCAGAGTACTGTATACAGACTGCATTCCAAAGCTATGATCAACACAATGGCTGCAATCTAATGCAAAGATGCACAAACCTCAAGACCTAAGAAAAAGCACCATTGGACTAAGATGTACAGTACGTGTTTGGGTATCTGTGCATGGGAGAAGAGGAATTTTTTGGATCTCTTTTTGTTCCTTTTCTCATTTCCTCTCCCCAGGGCCTCCTTTAGTCTTCAGACTGAATAGTTTTCATGAAGGCAGCCATGTTTAGGTCTTTGCTTCAAGCGAATCCTGATGAGACAATAATGCTGAACTTTATGCCATAGTCGTTCCATGAACCCTGGATTGGGGAACAGGGCTTGGTAAGAACGTTTAGTCCTCACAAAAATGATCTGTGAAAATTGGACTACCAAGAATCCTCTGTCATTGAACCTGCCCAAGGAGTGAGTGTACTAAATGATTGAACAAACTCTTAAAATATTAGGTCAGCTGTTGTCGTTGAACCCTCCTGGGAATAACAAAGACAGTCTACAATCTATTATGTGCACATTTCACTTGAGATGAAGCCATGCTAAAGTTGGCCTAAATACACTAAAGGAATTGCTTGATCTTAGAAGCTAAGCAGGATCAGCTCTTATTAATACTTGAATGAATGACCGCCAATGAATACCAGGTACTGTTGGCTATATTTCAGAGGAAGGAACTAATAAAACCTCCTCTGAGAATTCCTTGCCTAAGAAAACCAATGAAATTCACCGGGTGACCTGAAAACACACATTGTTTTATTTTATTAGATTTGTATCCCATTTTTCTCCCAGAATGGGATTCAAGGTGACTTACAATACTAAACAATGAAAATATGGGGAGCACTTCTAAGTATACACCATGGTCATAAAAGTATTCATATTTAGGAAAGTTTTAATAATAAAGGATGGGGAAAGCAATTCACCACCACCTCAGTATCTGCAAGTAGGCAACATAAAGAGCTAATGTTGAGACCTCCCCTAAAAAAGAGTTCTGGGGTACACTGCTCATCCTAACTGGGCAGCCTAGAATGTAATAATCCGGTGTCCATTGCAGCATTTATAATGCAATGCAAATACATTAAACAGTCTGCACTGAGTTCATAATGTCTCCCATGGGAGTTGAATTTTGCAGAACAGAAAGGAGTTTTAAAAAAAACCATGGCATGCCTCAAATAAAATATTTGAATAATTTGAAATATTTGGTCACAAAGGACTGAAATGAAACCTTGCAATGGGAGTGGTAACATGATCAAATATTTTTAAAAAAGCATGTTCCAGATCTGGATATCTATTCTGAGGAAGTTTCACTGGAATTTGTAGTGTTCAAAAAAAAAAGATTTCTGCCTTGTTCCATATCATGGGGCTAACCCAAATTGTTGAGGCTCAGCGTCCTGGCACCGTATCTACTACTGGTTGCAGGAGAAGGAGGAGTGATGCTGAATCAGACCTGGATCAGTGGCAGCTGAAGCGCATTTGTGATATCTTTTTGGCTCCGAGCGATTCAGAAGACTTTGCAGGGTTCAGCCCTGGGGATGTATTAGAGTCAGATTACCGGGGAGTAAAGCGGGTGGCCAGTGAGTCTGATAGTGATAGTGATACTCTGTCCAAAAGACTTAAAGATACAGCAGGCAATTCCAGTTCTAGTGAGGATGAAATGGAGGAGGAACTAGATTGGACTCTTGTTAGGAACAATAGGGACATATGCACCCAAGCTACATCCAGTGATGAGTTCAAGGGATTCCAGGATACTTGGGAGGAGGGTTCATCTTGGCAGGATCAGGTACTGGATCAAAGATGGCAGCATTGGCGTGGCCAAGATGCAGCAGCTGCGGAAAATGACTCAGATGTGAGTAGTGAGGCTCAATCAAGTGATAGTGACTGTGTATAAATTGAGCACACTGAGGGATGTTACTTTGCAGAAGACAAAGTGTTGTTTACATGCTTTATGCTGCCTAACTCTTGCTTGGATTCCTGGTATCCAGTTTTCCTGCCTTGCATATCCTGACCTTGGAATCGTCTTACGTGAGTGACTTCATCCTGCTCCGGACCTTGGAATCGTTTTGGACTACACATCTGCTTATCGGACCTTGTTTTTGTTCTGAACTCTGCTTTACTAAGAGACTATTTTGATTTTGTGTTTTGCCACACGCTCTTGTTTACATCTGCTTTCCTTTCGGCTGAGCGCAAGCCCTGGAAGATCCGGATTAACTACTATTTGTTTACCTGCCTGAAGGTTCTTTTGATTTGCTAATTAAACTGCTGTTAAGTGCTCTCTCAGTTTGTACCTCATTAAAACCTGCTATTATCACTTCAATTGCTGTGAAAGACAATCTCTGTTACCTAAGTCTCAACACGAATACATTAAATACATCACACTAGCTGTTGAATTCCATATACTTTCTCATCAAGCAAAAGTGCTAAAACTGTATACAGGTAAGTAAAGGAAAGTGAAAGGCAGTGAAGCGGGGAGGGGATGTTAGAAACATTTCACTGCATTCACTGTTAATAATTAACATTTCATCTTCTGGTCTACAGTGTCACCTAGAAAGGTTCATTGTTGGTCAGAGGGCATTGGACAACACATGGTCCAAATCCAGGAGAATGAGAGCAAGGAAGTATCTTGCAGAGGAATGTTGATCATGTACCTTTGCTATACTGTGTGATCCACCATGGGAGAAGATTATTAACAGCTGCAATCCGTCTGAGGGTTGTCAGCAGAGGAATTGTACGGTTCCCTCCTGGAACTCAAGGGTGCGCTGTTACTGCCTCCCCCGTGTTGCCTCATCTTGCACTTTATCCCCGCCCTTTATGATTGTGGTCCTTAATTTAAAATCTATTAACTCGGCCTTTGGAACTTGCTGCTAGTTTCAGTAGCACTTTTGCACTTTATCCAATGAACTCTATCAATAATTGATATAATTAAGACACTAATTCCTCAATGTGATATCGTTGGATCTGGTTTCCCACTAGCACTTTAGTACTTGTTTACCAATACTGCCCTTGATCTTCTGGCACTTTAAACCTGCAATTGCACTTTCCATCTTGCACCTTATATTTGCACTTTATGACTGACGTTTGATCAGTGGAAGATTCTATGAGGTTGAGGAAATGAATTATGAAAGTGATGGAATTTTAACAACTATAGATTTTGATATATTACATCAAAGTGCAATACTAGACTATCAGGATGAGGGGAAGGGAGGGGGCCTGTTGGGTGGGGGGAGTTCCATGGGATGGGGGGCCCCATTGAGATTATAATGGGGAAGGGGAGATATGGGAAAGGGAGATCCAATCAATCAATTTGGCTAATTCATGAGAAAACTTTAAAAATTCCAAAACGTTCTCCTGACATGGTAAATTGGTGTACCCAGGATGACGGTCCCCCTAGGTTAAGGGTGGTGCTGCTGAATGCCAGGTCTGTCAATGGAAAAACATCAACCATCCAGGATCTAATCCTGGATGAAAAAGCAGGCCTGGCATGTATAACAGAGACCTGGTTGGACGAAGCTGGAGAGGTTAATATTACCCAGCTTTGTCCTCCAGGTTATGCTGTGCAGCATCAGCCGAGATCTGGGGGGTGGGGAGGAGGAGTTACAGTAATCTATAAAGATTCCATCTCCCTGGTCAGGTGCCCCATCCCGCAGTCAACCTTATTCGAATGTGTCCACCTGAGGTTAGGAGACCGGGACAGATTAGGGATTCTGTTAGTGTACCGACCACCCCGCTGCACTACAGTCTCCCTACCTGAGCTAGCAGGGATGGTCTCGGGCATGGCATTGGAGTCCCAGTGGCTTTTAGTGCTGGGGGACTTCAATGTCCATGCAGAGTCCACCCTTTCAGGAGCAGCTCAGGTCCACGCTCTGGTTACATCCCATACAGATTACTGCAACGCTCTCTATGTGGGGTTGACTCTGATGACTGCCTGGAAGCTGCAATTAGTCCACCGCTCGGCAGCCAGACTACTGACGGGAGCTGGGTACAGGGAATGCACAACTCCCTTGCTGCACCAGCTCCACTGGTTGCCAATTAGCTTCCGAGCACAATTCAAAGTGCTGGATTTAACCTATAAATCCCTATACGGTTCTGACCCAGTTTACCTGTCCAAACATATTCTTCCCTATGAACCATCAAGGACATTAAGATCTTCCGGAGAGGCCCTGCTCTTGGTCCCACCACCTTCACAAGCGCGTTTGGTGGGGACGAGAGACAGGGCCTTCTCTGTGGTGGCCCCTTGGCTATGGAACTCTCTCCCGAGTGAGATTAGATCTGCCCCCTCCCTCTTTTCCTTTCAGGAGGCTAGTGAAATCCTGGTTATGGAACCAAGCATTCCCAGAATAATGGCCGAGACTGTTTACAGACCAAAGTGACTGACCACATATGCGGACTGAGTTGAACATGATTTTATCTTGGCGATTTGGTATATATGTATTTTATCTATATGTATTTTAATCTTGTATTGTTGTATGATGTTTTAACTTGTATTAGTAGCAGTGAATCCTTGCTGTAAGCCAGTCTGAGTCCCTCTACGGAGGTGAGAAGATCGGGATATAAACGTTTTAAATAAATAAATAAATTGCAATGGCTGATTAGTGGTGGCAAAACAGGTGCATAGCTATATGTTAGTGTTGCTCAGCTGTATACAGGACTGGGTTCCTGTAAGTTCTACATGCACCATTAAAGGATTTCTTGCAACTGCAACTTGCCCCAAATTTCCTCCTTACTGTATTGAAGCTTGACCTAAATATGCAGTTATTATACACTGTTAGGAAATCATATCCAGAAGAGAAATGGTAGGCAAGAAAAGGATGAAGTTATCTGCTTGGTTGCACCCTGCAAATTGTCTCTCCCTCCTTTGAATTTGTCTTATAAGTGCATTCTGTATTATTTTGCTGACAGTGAGTGGGGCATGTGGAATTTCACAATGTTGCGCACTCAGTCTTTGCTGTTATAGGATTTTCTAACTGAAAAGCATTTCAGGGTTGTCTTGCTCAACAGTAAGACATTCTGTCCAAATAAACTCAGTCTGTGAGTTAATTCAGGGAAGACTTAACTTGTGACAACAGATACCATCAATCAGGGAATGGCAATTAGTCGATTACACCTCCAGTCAGCCCTAAGCTGCACTGCCAATGGTGTGGGATGATGGGAGTTATGGTCTACAGAGTGCCCTGATTAGAACAATAAAAGAGCTTTACAGTTGGATTATTGGTCTAATAAAGACAGGCTCTCTCTATTTCAGGCAGTATGGCTGGCTGATAACCCAATTATTGGCACCACAGATGCTGAAGGAAATGAATCAGCTCCCTAAAATAGTGAAATTTCTATTTCTTCTGATTTGCATTTTCATTTCTGAGAGAAGGCGGGTCTACACACAATGATAAACCACTTCATGGAGGATGGCCAAATCAGTGTTTTAGCACTTCACCAAGTCTGCTCAGCTTGCCACAACAAGCAGAACAAGGCCCACTAAGTAGGTATTGTAGCCTGTCAAGCAACCTATTGAGAGACTTCATGGTTATGCAGCTGCAAGGCAGGAAACAGAACCAGAAGGATGATCAAGCTGATTGGGAACTACTAATAATCTGGTCAGTAGACTGCATTTAGTGTAGCAGCTGCTCCATGTTTATCCCACAACAGGGATTTTAACGTAAATACTTATGTTAAGTCAACCTCATATATACATTGAGGGTGTGTTTTGGGATCAAATTTACAGCTTTTGATATGATCCGTGGATAAGTCAAGGATCATTCCTGTGCTGCCTTGGGGAATCATCTGAATCTGACTGCTGCTCTCATTTTCTCACCCAGCAATAAAAAAAGGCCTTTTGCCAGTCTGCTCAGACAAGGAGATGGTTTTCTATATAAAAAAGTTAATGCACAAAATAAATAAGGAGTAATTGCATTCTCTATTTTGGAGAAACAAAAGAATCGCCGTTTTTCTCTACTCTTTCAATGTTCCTTTGTCCAGAAGCAAAAAAGAGCCACCACTGCTGCTATCATTTTTCCACATAGAATGTGTGTCTAAGAAGACCCTCCAAAAGGAATGGGATTGCTATAAGCCAATAGGTAATTTGAAGGCACACATCTCAAAACCTATTCAGATAGTCCCCAAGTTACAAACGTGATAGTTCTGTAGGTTTGCTCTTAATTTGAATTTATATTTATGTTGAAACTGGTATATTTGAAAGTGTAACTTCAGATACACACACACACACACACACACACACACACATATATATGTAAGCTTTGGATAACAAAGGGAGTGATTAACACCCCTCTGGTTTGTCTATGCCCCTGTTCAGAAGACTTCACCTCACTTTCTGTCCCTGTGATAATAGAATTTTGGAAAATTTGGTTTGTGTGGAAGCAAGGATTGGTGAGAAAGGTTCAGTGGAGACCCCTTTTCCCTGTGATAACTCTTTTAGTAGGAAATTTCCATTCCTAGGGGTAGATTTCTCTCACTTCCTGTTGCCTCGTCCCAGTTCTTAACTATGAGTCATTTGCGTTTTGGATGTTTGTAACTTGGGAACTGCCTTTATTAGTGGAGGCAGTTACATCATTTTTAATAGCAAACTTTAAAAAGTAGAAGGGTAATTTTCTCTTCCATTGCCTCTTACTGGCTTTCTTGGGGGGGCAGTCCACTTTCTGAAGATGTGCTGGTGCTGACAAGGCCTTCTTCTGCCTGAGTTCTAAGTTGTCTCTCACGTTCCCTTCGTCTGCGTTCCCTTGCTGCTTCCTCTTCATCTTCCACGCTCCATTGTGCTGTCAGCCTGCCAATCAAAGAGAAACTAAAGTCAGGCCAGCTAGAGAAGTACATCATATAATCCAGATATACTGAGAGGTGTTGAGGGAAGGATGCACACAGTTGCTATAATGTTGGAAGATATTAGCCAAGACCTCGGATCAAATGACTGAAATGTAATGCTCCAACTGCACAATTGTGTGACCTTCAAGCACCAATAATGCTCTCCCTGTATAGATGAGAATGTATCCTCATTTTCTTTCCCCTCAGAGATGGGATTAGCTGCATCTTTTACCTCTGTGTTGGCTCCCTGATCCTCTCATAACCACTAAGCAGGAGTAACAGTACCCCCCATGCCTGTAAGAAGAATATTTGGATGGATTACAAGTAGTCCTCTTGTGCCCAATCCCAAAAGAGACCTAAACACGCATAAGTCACATGGGGACATGTTTAAAAAAATTCTGTATATGTATTTCGTATACCCACCTGAATACCCCAAAGGAACCATATCCTGTCTGATCTTGGAAGATAAGCAGGGCCAACCCTGGATGAGACTGCAAAGAATACCAAGCTATTGCTTCAGAAGAAAGAACTCACAAAACCAGCTCAAATAACCCGTGCGCCGCTCGACTCGCGGCCTGGCCCTAGCAGGAGGGAAAACGGCAAGGGAGACGGCTGGCACAAGCCTCCGCCGCCGCTCAACCCCTCCACTCCTGCGGCGACGGAGAGGGCATCCTCGTTCCCGGAGCGCTCCAGTAATAGCGGCCGCCGCCGAGCGACCAGCACGATCTTCAGGCCGGGCGAGCTCCAGCCTCACCCAAGCTGCTCCGGCCTCTCCCACGCTGCCACACAGCCCTGGATAAGCAGGGAAGGAGGGAAGGAACCCCCTCCTTCCCAGCCCGCTCCCAAGACCGACCTGAGCAGCGATCGAAAGGTGCGTCCGTCCTGTAGAAAGTCTTAGCAAGACTGAAGGAAGGAGGCTGGCTCACGTGATCAGCCAGCCCCCTCCCTTCTTCTAGGAGGTTCGAAGGAACCTCCATTCTCTGCCTTCTGGGGGGAGGGGCAAATCGCTCTCCCAACCAACTGCGTTGGCTGGGAGAGTCCCTTCCTTGCCTAAGAAAATCCTATTAAATTTGTAGGATTGCCATAAGGCAACAACCGACTTGAAAGCACACACACACACATTTTATATACAAAATTGATCTGCCCATTTATTATTTTCTGCATCAGGTACAATTTCTTGGGATACTCATATTTCTATATACATACTCAGAAGTTTGTTTGGACTTTGGATTAGGCCTAGATGTTGGATCTCCTTCCCTTACTATCTTGAGATCATAGAATCAAAGAATTGGAAGAGACCTCATGGGCCATCCAGTCCAACCCCCTGCCAAGAAGCAGGAATATTGCATTCAAATCACCTGTGACAGATGGCCATCCAGCCTCTGTTTAAAAGCTTCCAAAGAAGGAGCCTCCACCACACTCCGGGGCAGAGAGTTCCACTGTTGAACGGCTCTCACAGTCAGGAAGTTCTTCCTCATGTTCAGATGGAATCTCCTTTCTTGTAGTTTGAATCCATTGTTTCCAGGGAAGCAGAAGACAAGCTTGCTCCCTCCTCCCTGTGGAGGAGGTATCAATAGTGGGAAGGGAATCTATGAGAAACATTGCATGTTTCTTTGCACATCACAAATAGGCAAGTTACTCATGCCTGGCATCAGGGATCTCCATTGTGGAATGAGTGCCAAATCTTGAAACTCTCTAGAGGACCCATTAGTGGTACTGTAGCCATCAGCCTCCCTGATAGAAGGATGTTATTGAAAATCTATTCCATTAGGCAAAGTTAAATTGTCCTGGTTTAAATGTACATAGTTCACCCAAGATTTTCAGTTAGAGAGCTGGGAAGGCTAGAGCAACTAGCCTGTGGATTTGGACTAGGAGTTTGCATTATTGCTATGAATAACTCCAAGTTTCCAGATACAGCATCCCTCTTCTGGGACAGACTAGAAGGTGGGTTTGTTAACCCACTGGTTGCCAATCTGCTACCGAGCACAATTCAAAGTGCTGGTTTTAACCTTCAAAGCTCTGAACGGTTCTGGCCTAGACTACATGTCCAAAAATATCTCCTACTATGAATCATCACAAAGTTTAAGATCATCTGTAGAGGCCCTGCTCTAGATCCCACCGCCGTCGCAAACACGATTGGTGAAGACGAGAGACAGGGTCTTCTCAACAGTGGCTACCCGTCTGTGGAATTCCCTCCTCAAAGACATCAGACTGGCCACCTGCCTCCTGTCCTTTAGAAGGAAATTCAAGACTTGGTTGTGGGACCTTGCATTTGACCATTGAATAGAAGCTTGTATGAAGAAGACATAAGCAATTTCGAAGTGACAATGAATTGACCTGGACCCGGATTTTAATTGGCATGTTTAACGTGTTTTAACTGTTTATTTAAAATACAATCTCTGTGGTGATCTTCCAAGGAAACCCTCTGGTAATTTTGGCAGATGTTCTTTTCAATATGGTCCACTGTTATCCGTGGTTTCCTGTTTCAATTGTAAGTTTAGGAACGTATCCCAATGAATATGTGTTTCATACAGCATATATCCACACATAAGTATGACATTTGGTAAGTCCATTAACTTCTCTGGACTTACCAAATGTAAGTCCAGAAAATAGCCATTATTAACAGCTGCACAGGCATGGATAGGAGAGACAGATCAGTGTTAAGGGAACCCATTCATGGCAACCTTTTAGAATTTGCCCAAGCTTGGCAACTGCCCTGAAATTAATACTGGGATCTACAAATGCAGGATTTAACTCAGGTTTTACCAACTCTTTCCATGAAAATCAGCAGCAGAAGGCATGGGGAAAGATTTTGGTGAGATATCCTCACCTGCCTGCCCACCACTGTTTTCTCCCCCCCCCCAATACATCTGTCGGTGATCCGGAAGCTCAAGCTGGTACAAAAAGTGGGTGCTAGAAATAATATCCTACAAAAGGTGAGTGGCACAACTTAGGGATCACAATGAAATACAGTGAAGACATCTGCCCATGTGCTTTAGTATTCAGCTGCTGAGTACACATGCCTAGTGTGGAATACACTGTACCATGTTAAAACAGTGGATGTGGCTCTTAATAAGACATGCCACATTATCACACGATGTCTATGCCAATACCACTGGAGAAATTATACTGTTTGGCTGGTATTGTACCTGACATCCATTGGGAAGTAGCAGCCAATAACGAAAGGACCAATAATGAAAGCCCATCCTCTGTTCAGATTATCAGCCAGCATGCCAATGTCTTAAATCAAGAAACAGCTTCCTAAGATTGAGAGACATACTTGCAGGAACAGCTCGGCAAGCAAGAATCCAAAAGTTGTAGGTTAAAACCTAACACCTTAATCAGTGGCTGAGATAGGATGAGAAACTCTCTCCTGGGCACACAGAAGATTGGGCGACCTGGAAGGTGCTGAACAGGCTGCGCTCTGGCACCATGAGATGCAGAGCTAACCTTAAGAAATGGAGCTACAAAGTGGAGTCCATGACATGTGAGTGTGGAAAAGAGACCACCTACTACAATGCAACCTGAGCCCTGCCACATGCACAGTGGTGAATCTTCTCACACTGACACCAGAAGCACTCCAAGTGGCCAGCTTCTAGTCAAAGGACATTTAGCATAATGCCAAGTTTTTAAACTTTTTGTGTGTCTTAAAATGCATGTTAAGTGTACCCTCAACTTGCTTCTGACACAATTAATAAATAGGCAAATGTATATATGGAGGAGAGGGGCTCCTTTCAATACTTTGGTTCCAGGCCTATTAGAGCTGTAAATGACATTATCAGGATCTTGAATTCAGACTGGATGCATGTTGACAGCCATGGTAATTCCTATAAAATTGTGTTATATCTTTTTTATCTGTCTTTTTTTGCTATTTGTATATTTATAGAACTCTCCTTCAACATCAAATTACAAATAAATGCATTCTTTTTCTGTCAGTTTTCTGCAGTATCCAGCTTTCTGCACTGCTATAGGCACATGGCTGGATATCCATTCATCCAATCTATGTTCCTTTATTCAGTGTACCATAAAAGTTTTTAAAAGATGTTTAAATATAGTAAGTCATATGGTAATATATAAATCACAACTGAACTCAAAACATAAAAAATCCCAAATGGAATGACACAATATGCCCAAGAATTCCTCAATAAAGGAGAGATCTTAATAGGCAAACTCAAGATGTTATAGTCAGCATCTATCAAATAACCAGGTGAAGGCATTTGAAATGGTTGACACCACTGCAAAAATTGTTTGTCTTAGTGGTTTTCCATATTCCACCTCTACATGTGAGGACTGGCACCGTGAAAGCACATTTTGTGTATGGGAGCTGACTGTGACAATGCAGCAACCTCAACTCATGAGAAGGCCAAAGTAAAATACCTCAGTTCAGTATGCACTACTTTGGTAGCAAGCTGATACTACTCCCTTGTTGCCATCAAATCACTGGTTGGTTCAGTCCAGATACACTCAGCATAATTTATTGGCAGTCTCCCATCCAAGTGCTAACTAAAGTCGACTACTTAGCTTCCAAGAACAGATAGGGTCTAATGCTTTTAAGGCATTTAGGCTGTATTTGGCTATCTCGGAATTTTTAAAAATGGTAAAAATCATTTCTCAGTTATCACGTAGCTTTTAGTCACATTCATTTAATCTTATGATGTGAACCCACCAGTAGCCAGGATAAATGTAGTAAGGAGCAACAAGGGGAGTGGGAAAATAAAGTTTCCAGTCTTCTGCTAGAAGGAAATGTCATCACTCCTATTCTCTTCCTTGCTTCAGAAAAAACAATATTTCCCTGAGATCCCTACTGCAATAATGTTTCTTGATTCCCTCTATATTCGTTACATTCTAAGATTCGGAGAACACCATCCTGTATTCAGGCTGTTGATAATTCTAGCAGCTTCCAACTATGAATTTGCACATTAAAAAGGTGTTTTAACACCAAGGCTGGTCACAGTCAGCTATCTG